GTACCAAATTGATAACAAGTTGAGATCAATTTCGAGAGGCATTTCAAAAGGTTGGTTAGTGGTCCCCTAAATTTTAACAGATTTTTTTAACCTTTTGGCAGATTTAATACATTGCTACATCATTTCATATGGAATTTTATTTTAAAACTTTAACACCCAACTTTGAAGGTCCATAACTTCTCAAGGGTACAACTTAGTATAGAGGTAAGTTTTAACGCAAATTATCATCTTAATTCATTTGACAATCTTATCAAATACAGGGTGTTCCGTTTAGAATTTTCGACCTTTTTTAATTGAATATTACTATGGCTTATCATAACCATTAATAGTGTTAATTGGTCTATAAGTTGGTCTAAGTTGCGTAGAGGCATCTTAGTCCGAAACATTTTTGCTTTTTGGAGACAAAATGGTAATTGTAATTAAAAAAATAAAATTACAAAATACAGCTGAATTTTCGGGATGAAGTAACACTTCCTATTACGTAATTTTGCCGCCATATTACGTTAATTTATTCTAAATTTATACTGCCAGTTTCAATCAAAAAACTAGATATGTGAACAATAAAGTACCAGTTCCGGTTTGATTGAAATTTTATATTTAAATATAAAATTAGTAGAACACATTAATCGTGTATTGTTATTTAAAGTGCAACTTTATACAAATTAGTTGGATTCTGGCTAAATCCAACTTTTTATTACGAGAGTATCCCAAAAGCAATATAAAGTATATTTCTGTATGTGCAATTACATCACCAAATCATTAGTTTTCTTCGTTTTGAAGTTTTAAGTCTTGATAATCTTTTCTAGAAGTTTTTGCTATGATTATAGCGGTGTTTTTAATTATTGAGTTTGTTTTTATATGGTGAGTCACATTAAGTAATCTTCGTTCATAAATTTGATATGGGAGTTTTTGGCTGTCAAATAATGTAATTTATGAATTAATACATAGTTAAACACTGTGGTGTTGAAAATCAGATCAACCCAGTTCATGACTCATCTGTGTTTTTCTATCAACTTAGTATATTATCCCTGGCAAGTATGAAGTAATAATTTTCTTCTTGAAATTGTATTTTGGGATTGCTTTCATTTCGTTTTTTCTTCCAAAAGTTTGTGTTAGCGGCATGAATAGCCAAATTAGAGGTTCCCAAAGAGTATTAAAGTATCTTATATTTTCATAGCTAAAAAACATTACTCCAAACACTCTGCTTAAGTTACTCTATATTGGAACATCTACTTACTTTCGGCAACACTGACTTTAAACGGTCTGCAGCTACAAAACTTTATAATTGTATATGTAATTTAGGTCTTCTACCTTGACTACATTCGGTTTCTTCCTTATTTTGTCATATCAATCCTTCATGCTAATCCTACCTCTGTCAGTAATTCCCCAGCCAGATGTTCACCTCTTTTCTTCAATTTTTCATTAAGTTCAGTTATTTCTATTGCCAACGGATTATCATTTGGACCATTTCGTTTAAATTTAAATATCTATATAACGCTGTCTTTATTGTCACAGCGTGTTAGCATTGCACCTCATTTAGTTTCGAATTACATTCACCTCCATCTTCGGTGGTAGTACTTGTAGTCAAGCAAGAAATGTTCATTCTGTCAATATACTCCTTTATCTATCCATTGGTGCGAGAAGAATCTAACACCATCTTGATATGCTGTATCTCATTCAAAAAATACTTGTAGATCAGTCCAGGTTACCTACCGTTAGATATGTTGTAGTACAGATAACTGCAACGCAGCAATACTATGGCCATAACTGCTTCTTTCATCCCAGAGTAATGTTTTTCAATTTCTTGCATATATACTTATAAGTATTTAGTTATTTAAAGGCATTTAAATAGTAATAGAAGCACATAATTCTGCATACTGAAGACATAGACATTGATTCAAAATGTGAGAAATTTCCACAATTTTTGTTACTTTTTGTACTTTACTAGAAAAATGGTTATATATTTAAATAACCGATTAATCAAAAAAATTATAAAACGCAATTCAACAAAACCGAGTTTATTTTTAATTTAGAGAGACAAAGTATGTAAAAATTTGATTGAGAAGATCAAAATTAAATGTGTTATATCTCAAAAAATTAGTGAGATATCTTAATGAGATAATAAACACTTTAAAGCAAATTTAATCAAGATTCATCACCCAAAAAATAATTTCCTAATTTTTACAACCCGGATTGTTGTAATTTTTTTAATCCAACTCTGCATTTTTGTTACAACAAGGAATTTATAAAAATTGAAATTGATGTATCTCAAGAACTAATTGAGATATCGCGATGAAACCAAAAGGGGTTAAAAACAAATTTAATCTAGTTTTAATGTGAGAAAGCTCAATTTTTAATTTCCATTAATTCGGTTGTTATGATTTTTTTAATTACACCCTGTATGTTAAGGCTTGAAAAAATTTGATTGAGAAGGTAAAAATTAAATGTGTTGTATCTCAAAAAGTGAATGAGATATCTTAATGAGATAACAAACATTTTAAAGTAAATTTAATCAAGATTCATTACCAAAAAATGATTTCTTAATTTTTATAACCCGGATTGTTGTGATTCTTTTAATCCAACTCTGCATTTTTATTGTAACAGAAAATTTATAAAAATTGAAATTTATCTATCTCAAGAACCAATTGAGATATCGCGATGAAACTGAAAGGGATTAAAAGCAATTTTAAAGCTCAATTTTTAATTTTGATTAATTCGATTGTTATGATTTTTTTAATCACACCCTGTATGTTAAGAGTTGAAAAAATTTGTTTGATAGGATTAAACTTAACTGTGTTGTATCTCAAAAACTAAGTGAGATATCTAAATGAGATAACAAACATATTAAACCAAATTTAATCAAGATTCATTACCAAAAAAATAATTTCTTAATTTCTATAACCCGGATTGTTGTGATATTTTTAATCCAACTCTGCATTTTTGTTACAATGAAGAATTTATAAAAATTGAAATTTATGTATCTCAAGAACTAATTGAGATATCGTAATAAAACTGAAAGGGGTTAAAAGCAAATTTGATCTAGTTTTAATGTGAGATAGCTCAATTTTTAATTTCGATTAATTCGGTTGCTATGATTTTTTTAATTACTGGCTGTATGTTGAGAGTTGAAAACATGTGATTGACAGAATCAAAATTAAATGTGTAGTATCTCAAAAACTAAGTGAGATATCTTAATGAGATAACCAACATTTTAAAGCAAATTTAATCAAGATTCATCAACCAAAACATAATTTCTTAATTTTTAAAACCCGGATTGTTGTGATATTTTTAATCTAACTCTGCATTTTTGTTACAATGAAGAATTTATAAAAATTTAAATTTATGTATCTCAAGAACTAATTGAGATATCGTAATAAAACTGAAAGGGGTTAAAAGCAAATTTGATCTAGTTTTAATGTGAGACAGCTCAATTTTTAATGTCAATTAATTCGGTTGTTATGATTTTTTAATTACTCCCTGTATGCTGAGAGTTGAAAAAATGTGATTGACAGAATCAAAATTAAATGTGTAGTATCTCAGAAACTAAGTGAGATATCTTAATGAGATAACCAACATTTTAAAGCAAATTTGATCAAGATGCATCACCCAAAACATAATTTCTTAATTTTTATAACCCAGATTGTTGTGATTTTTTTAATCCAACTCTGTCTGACTTTTTGTTGTAACGGAGAATTTATAAAAATTAAAATTGTTTTACTATGCTTTATAGTGAGACAATAAATTTTGCACTTGTTGAATCCAAAGCCTTAAAAACTATTTAGTTATTTAATGCATTTAAGTAGTAATAGAAGCACATAATTCTATATACTGAAGACATAGATTTTGATTCAAAATGTGAGAGATTTCCAACAAATGGTTATATTTTTAGCTAATTGTTTAATTAAAAAAATTATAAAACGCAATTCAACATAACACAGTGTATTTTTAAGTTAGAGAGACAAAGTATGTAAAAATTCATAGAATCAACCGCATAAAAAATTAATATGTACAAAATTTATACAAGAATTTTATTTTCTGCCTCATCAAATAATTAAATTCGCATCATATAGCAATTTCCAAGATGTTAACAGAGATTCAGTAAAAATGTTTTCCCAGAAAACACAGAAAAAAACTGTAAGTCTTCCAGATGTTGTTGTTTCTTCGACAAATAAGAGGCATCTGTTCGAGATCTTTCGAATCTCAAACGAACGTTTACAACAAAAAATTAATCAACATAAAAAATTACTAAAACGGAAAATAATTTAATTTGATTTGAAAGCTGATATTGAAACTATAAGAAACGAGACACCGAAGCCGCAAATCACGTAACTCTCCGGTCTCTTTGTGGAGGTGTTTTTCGAAGAATTTGATCCGAACGGCGACCTTTTCGAATAATATACATAAGATAATATCGTTTTTATGACGCTTCCTGTGTTAACATGAATCGGGATCGGCTATTAAACGGAGAGAAGAACCGCAGCGATGCACGTGGTACATAAAGAATTCATGTGACGAACGAAAATCTAAAACGGTATCTAATAACTGGATACGATGATATCGGATAAGGGATGTGCATCCTGTTTAGAACACCAAAACAAAAAAAAATAAAACTAAACAGTTAAATGTATCGTTACCAAACGTACGCTATCTGAATAAAATATCACTTCCATACGGAAATCAAAAATTTATTCTTATTTACAATGTATTGACATTTAAAACGTCAATTTGACGTTTAATTCTTTGAAATAAAAACCTTATTTATTAACCTTTGTGACTATCCTTTTACATTATTGCACTTCATATATAATTGAATTTAACGGTCGTCTTTCCGGTACTTGATCGAATTACGAGCTAATTGCTCTCCCTTTTATATTTTTTTTTTGGGTGAGGTTCCTATTAGAATTAATGGATCTATTACAACGTGTGACAATTCACTATACAGGGTGAAATGACTCCTTAAATGTTATGACACTAATTTTCTTTTATTTCTTTTTAGGATGACTACACATTCCCTAACATTAATATTTCTGATTTCGGCGGTTCTAATCGAAGCAAGATGTCCAACGAATTGCTCCTGTTATTTGGACTTGCGAGGAAGAAAATCTGTCGAATGTAAAGAGGGTGGAATGAGTGGGCCATTATCATTAACCGAAATGGAAACCTCAGTTCAAGTCTTAAGAATCACCGCTCCCGATGACAATTTAAACGCACTAACGATGAGCCCCAATATTAGAACTTTTACCAATTTGGAAGAGATCCATATTACGAAATCGAACGTTCCCATTCTCGGCCAACATTTCTTTTACGGATTGAAACGATTGCTTATTTTGGATCTATCCCAAAATAATATTACGCAACCTTTAGATCACAATTTTAATGGATTGAATTTTTTGCAAGAACTTTATTTGGACGATAATCGAATTTATTCGTTGCCCAGTGGAACTTTTCGATATTTAAAGGAGTTGAGGATTTTATCGATTCAAAGGAATAAAATGCAAGAAATGCCACCAAGCGTTTTTCAACAATTAGATAAATTACAAGAGTTAAAAATTAGTGGAAATCTATTTGGGGTTTTAAGTCCGGAAGTTTTTAAGGATATAAAGGTAACTATTATTAAATATGTTGTTATAATAAAAAAATAAACCTGTTATTATTAAAGAATTAATATACAGTGAAACCTTGATATAATGGACTTCAGATATAACGAACAAAATGTATGTATCTCAAGAACTAATTGAGATATCGTGATGAAACTAAAAGGGGTTAAAAGCAAATTTTGTCTAGTTTTAATGTAAGCAAGCTCAATTTTTAATTTCCGTTAATTCAGTTGTCATGATATTTTTAATTATTCCCCGTATGTTAAGATTTGAAAAAATTTGATTGAAAAGATCAAAATTAAATGTGTTGTATCTTAAAAAATAAGTGAGATATCTTAATGAGATAACAAACATATTAAACTAAATTTGATCAAGATTTATCACCCAAAAAATAATTTTTTAATTTTTATAACCCGGATTGTTGTGATTTTTTTAATCCAACTCTGCATTTTTGTTGTAACGGTGAATTTATAAAAATTGAAATTAATCTATCTCAAAAACTAATTGAGATATCGTGATGAAACCAAAACGGGATAAAAGCAAATTTAGTCTAGTTTTAATGTAAGAAAGCACAATTTTTAATTTCCATGAATTCGGTTGTTATGATTTTTTTAATTACACCCTGTGTGTTACGAGTTGAAAAAATTTTATTAAAAAGATCAAAATTAAATGTGTTGCATCTCAAAAAATAAGTGAGATATCTTAATGAGATAACAAACATTCTAAACCCAATTTGATGAAGATTTATCACCCAAAAAATAATTTTTTAATTTTTATAACACGGATTGTTGTGATTTTTTTAATAACTCTGCATTTTTGTTGCAACGCAGAGTTTATAAAAATTGAAATTTGTCTATCTCAAGAACCAATTGAGATATCGTGATGAAACCAAAAGGGGTTAAAGGCAAATTTAGTCTAGTTTCAATGTACGAAAGCTCAATTTTTAATTATCATGAATTCGGTTGTTATGATTTTTTTAGTTACACCCTGTATGTTACGAGTTGAAAAAATTTTATTAAAAAGATCAAAATTAAATGTGTTGCATCTCAAAAAATAAGTGAGATATCTTAATGAGATAACAAACATTCTAAACCCAATTTGATGAAGATTTATCACCCAAAAAATAATTTTTTAATTTTTATAACACGGATTGTTGTGATTTTTTTAATCCAACTCTGCATTTTTGTTGTAACGGAGAATTTATAAAAATTGAAATTAATCTATCTCAAGAACTAATTGAGATATCGTGATGAAACCAAAAGGGGTTAAAAGCAAATTTAGTCTAGTTTTAATGTAAGAAAGCTCAATTTTTAATTTTCATGAATTCGGTTGTTATGATTTTTTTAATTACACCCTGTGTGTTAAGACTTGAATAAAATTGATTGAAAAGATCAAAATAAAATGTGTTGTATCTCAAAAAATAAATGAGATATCTTAATGAGATAACAAACATTTTAAAGCAAATTTAATCAAGATTTATCACCTAGAAAATTATATCTTAATTTTTATAACCCGGATTATTGTGATTTTTTTAATCCAACTCTGCATTTTTATTGTAACGGAGAATTTATAAAAATTGAAATTAATCTATCTCAAGAACTAATTGAGATATCGTGATGAAACCAATAGGGGCTAAAAGCAAATTTAGTCTAGTTTTAATGTACGAAAGCTCAATTTTTAATTTTCATGAATTCGGTTGTTATGATTTTTTTAATTACACCTTGTGTGTTAAGAGTTGAAAAAATTTGATCGAGAAGATCAAAATTAAATGTGGTGTATCTCAAAAAATAAGTGAGATATCTTAATGAGATAACAAACATTTTAAATCAAATTTAATCAAGATTCATCACCCAAAAAACAATTTCTTAATTTTTATAACCCGGATTGTTATTTTTTTTTAATAACTCTGCATTTTTGTTGCAACGCAGAGTTTATAAAAATTGAAATTTGTCTATCTCAAGAACCAATTGAGATATCGCGATGAAACCACAAGGGGTTAAAAGCAAATTTGACCTAGTTTTAATGTGAGAAAGCTCAATTTTTAATTTCGATTAATTCAGTTGTTATGGTTTTTTTAATTACACCCTGTTTGTTAAGAATTGAAAACATTTGATTGAAAAGATCAAAATTAAATGTGTTGTATCTCAAAAAATAAGCGAGATATCTTAATGAGATAATAAACATTTTAAAATAAATTTAATCAAGATTCATCACCCAAAAAATAATTTCTTAATTTTTATAACCCAGATTGTTGTGATTTTTTTAATCTAACACTGCATTTTTGTTGTAACGGAGAATTTATAAAAATTGAAATTTATGTATCTCAAGAAGTAATTGAGATATCGTGATGAAACCAAAAGGGCTTAAAAGCGTATTTAATCTACTTTTAATGTGCGAAAGCTCAATTATTAATATCAATTAATTCGGTTGTTATATTTTTTTTAATTACAGCCTGTATGTTAAGAGTTGAAAAAATTTGACCGAGAAGATCAAAATTAGATGTGGTGTATCTCAAAAAATAAATGAGATATCTTAATGAGATAACAAACATTTTAAATCAAATTTAATCAAGATTCATCACCCAAAAAACAATTTCTTAATTTTTATAACCCGGATTGTTATTTTTTTTTTAATAACTCTGCATTTTTGTTGCAACGCAGAGTTTATAAAAATTGAAATTTGTCTATCTCAAGAACCAATTGAGATATCGTGATGAAACCACAAGGGGTTAAAGGCAAATTTAACCTAGTTTTAATGTGAGAAAGCTCAATTTTTAATTTCGATTAATTCGGTTGTTATGGTTTTTTCAATTACATCCTGTTTGTTAAGAATTGAAAACATTTGATTGAAAGATCAAAATTAAATGTGTTGTATCTCAAAAAATAAGCGAAATATCTTAATGAGATAATAAACATTTTAAAGCAAATTTAATCAAGATTCATCACCCAAAAAATAATTTCCTAATTTTTATAACCCAGATTGTTGTGATTTTTTTAATCTAACTCTGCATTTTTGTTGTAACGGAGAATTTATAAAAATTCAAATATATGTATCTCAAGAGCTAATTGAGATATCGTAATAAAACCAAAAAGGGTTAAAAGTAAATTTGATCCAGTTTTAATGTGAGAAAGCTAAATTTTTAATTTCGATTGATTCGGTTGTTATGACTTTTTGAATTACACCCTGTATGTTAAGAGTTGAAAAAATTGGATTGAAAAGATCAAAATTTAATGTGTTGTATCTCAAAAAATAAGTGAGATATCTTAATGAGATAACAAACATTTTAAAGCAAATTTAATCAAGATTCATTACCCAAAAAATAATTTCTTAATTTTTATAACCCAGATTGTTGTGATTTTTTTAATCTAACTCTGCATTTTTGTTGTAACGGAGAATACAGGGTGTTTCGGTGACTCGGGGAACAAATGTAACCACATGTACTAGACTGAAAATGATAACCATTCATGTAAAAAAAATTAGTAAAAGTCTTCAAATTGCAAAGATACAGGCCATCAAAGTTAGGAAATTTTAACACATTTTTCTAAATATCTTAAACATTATTTATGGTAAAGCGTTGAAATTTGGTGCAGTGTAGTTTACACTAAATAATATAAAAATATCACGTAAAATCATTAGGCAATTTTTGAGTTGGATCGGTACGCGGGAGCAATGCTATACAGGCTGTTCCTAAAGTTTGTTTGCTCAGAACTTTTTTATTCTATCATAACCCTACATTTATTTTTGCAGTTTCTAATAGTAAATTTAGTTTAGAAACTTTTATCACTCTTAGAGAATATTGATAAAATCCACCGTTTTCGTATTAAATGCAAAAATGTTAGACTCCGAATTCAATAACACTAAAAACGGATATCTCAAGAACTAATTGAGATATCCTGATGAAACCAACAGGGTTTAAAAGCAAATTTAATCTAGTTTTAATTGTTATTCAACGTTAAATTGTTTTATACTTTTATTGAACTAAAAATAGAATTAACTAGTGTTGTTTCTAGTACTAGTGTTAGCTCTAGTGCTAGTGTTAGTTCAGTTAGTATTCAGCGCTATATTGTTGTATATTTTTATTGAACGAGAAGTAAAACTAACTAGGCCTAGAATTAGAAACATTCGGGTTTAGCCGTACGTCTCTTAAGACGGCTAAACTCGATCAAGATCTTTATTTTATATTATGAACCATAAGTCTCAAACTAACAACATTACAAAACACGAATGACGTCACCAACGGGCCTTCGAGCTGTGTATTAGTCCATTTCATCGAGGTTTTATTGTACTTGTCTTTTAAAAATTTATTAATGAAAATTAATTTTTAGGGTCTACGAAAATTAGAATGTAGAGCTTGTGGATTATCCTCAATCGACCAAGAAATATACAAATTAATTCCCGATTTAATCCACCTGGATTTAGGTGAAAACAACCTAAAACAAATCTCACCAAACGAATACGATTATTTAACAAAATTGAAATCGTTAAAACTCGATGGGAATCAAATACATCGTTTAACAGGACCACACTTCCAAACGTTATGGGAACTACGAAAATTAAATTTAGCGAAAAACGAATTCAAAGAAATATCAAGAGGCGCATTTAAAAACTTAACCAAACTAAACGAAATCGATTTATCTTTTAACGATTTTGAAAAAATCGATAGCGATATTTTCCAACCATTCGAAAATTCGTTAGAAAAATTAATTTTGAATGGAAATCATTTGAGGCCGTACAAAATTAAGCAACTCGTTCAAAATTTAAAGGTATTAAAAAATCTTCAACTTTCCGAATGTGGGTTGACTGATTTCGAAGAAGAAAATTTCGTCCCGGAAACTTTGTTAACATTAAATCTCGCCGGGAATTACTTATCAATGATTCCACCAGAAAGCATCCCGTACAGTTTAATTGAACTTGATTTATCAAAGAATCGATTTAAAGGATTCCGAGAAGAGGTTATGCAACGAATCGAAAACACCCCAAAATTAAAATTGGATTTAAATCCTTGGTCGTGCGATTTGTGCTACATTTTTCCATTAATTTCCAGAGTTAACAAAAGCGAAATTATCCGAAATTTACGTTGCGCGTCCCCGTTTCATTTCGAAAACAAACAACTCGGCTCTATACGCACAGAAGAATTAAATTGGTGTAGCACCCCAACTTATCAACCAACAGACGCAAATTTATTCTTTTTAGGAGATGAGAATAAAGTAGGAATAATCGCAGCCGGAGCATCCGTGGTACTTTTAGTTTTAACGATTTTATCGATTTTGGGTGCTTTGATTTATTCCCGAAGACACGCTGCTAAATATTACACGCACGAAGAGAAACGATCGCCGGAGAGAGAATCAATTTTTGAGAATCAAACGCCGTTATTTGATGATAAAGAGTTGAGTTTCAAATTTCCTTTGGATCCGCCAGTTAAGAAGATCTCAATCGCTACTATTGATGAGTTGAAGAAGGAACAAGATTTATTACAAGCTAATGGGACGTGAAATGGATTTATTTTGAATTAACCCTGGTGAAAAAAGTAAAAGTGAGAAAACGAAGAATTGACATTGTTTTTAATTATTTCTAAAAAAATTTTAAACTTTTTTGGTGTTTTTTCTGTTTATTCTACGCGAAAAATAGTTACTTAATGCGATTATTGTGTGAGACGTAAAAATGCGTAAAGAGAACTGAGTCATTTATATATTTAATACATACAGTTCGTGTCAAAAGTTATCCTCCCGCCTGTCTCATTTGAAAAAGATTCGAAATATCGTCATGAGCCAAAACACATCGATTTTTATTTTTCATTAGCCCAAATATTTTAACATAAAAAAAGTTTGTAACTTTTGGTTTTGCCGCAAAATGGGTCAAGAAAATGGAACGTACTGTATAACATTATGGTATTTTCTGATAAAGCTAAAAAATACGAATCCAATGATGCCCCACTTGCTCTTTAACCTGAATCTTGTCCTTCAACATTTATTAGTTGAGGATCAAGAACACTTTGTAAAATAGCTTTAACCTTTAGTTCTTGCTCAGGTGATTCGTTCTTATCAATCTCTACCCATTCTGCAATTTCCTCTTCAAATATATTTTCTAGGTATACCCCTGATTACATCTAACATTTCACTTATTGTATCTAAGGTTTTTTCTTCACTGATTTGAGTTGTTCCACCAATTTCGGCGAATACATTTAGCCATAGCTTCTTCCAACAGCATTGTAAAGTAACTTCTTTTATTCGATACCAAAAGAGTAGGCTAGCATATACGGCATCCTTGACATTATCTGTAGAAAGCCAGTCTCGTTATAATCAGAGTTTAATAAGTCCTGAAGAAAGGAGCTTCTATAAAAACATTTAAAATTTTGAATAACCTCTTGATCCATAGGTTGGATCAATGAGATAACATGTGGAGGCAAAAATTTTGCAAATATGTTACCAGAAATCAACTCCGTTATTGGCGGTTGTACTTTGCAGTTATCTAAAAGAAGGAGGCCTTTGCTATCTTCTCGCAGTTTAAGCTTTCTAAAGTTATCCTTGACCTGTGGGACAAAGTGGTGTAAAAACCAGTCATTAAATAATTCGGCAGTCATCCAGGCATTTTATTGAGCATCGTAATTAACATTATATTCCTAAAAGCCAATTTTTAGGCAATTACCTATCTTTCTTTTTCTTATAACCCTTAGCTGCCTTTCCTTCTCCATCTAAACTTGTAGTCGGTAAACAACGAGCAGCTGACAGGTCGTCGTCTTTGTAAATTTTGTCAAATCCTTCCTTATAGTACTTTGCAGATTTTTCATTTGCAGATTTTGTCTCTCCCCTGACATCAAGTTTTCGAATTCCATATCGAAACCAAAAATTTCTGCGCCAGCCGCCTGAAAAATTACAGTTTCCCTCTGTATTCAAATTCTCTTTAAATTTTTTAGCTTTTTCAATAATCACTGAACAGATTTATACCATTTATACAAGACGCTGTCTAGTTGCTCCAGCTTGGGTTTTCTAAAAGTTTACTCAGATACAGATTGAGAAACTTGATGAGTTCGTCTTTTTATTTTGTAATGTCAGAAATAGTTGATGACCCAATATTAAATTCATTCATCAAAACATTTTTATTTCCACCCTTTCCCAAACGTTTGATGATTTCCAGCTTCTGATTAATGGTGCGAGTAACTTGTTATTTTTTCTGTTCAGAGTTTTTATCACTTGGCATTTTACCATCTATACAAGACGCTGTCTAGTTGTTCCAGCTCAGATTTTCTAAGAGTTTACCTAAAAACAACATTTTCAGATACAGATTGAGAAACTTGATGAATTCGTCTTTTTGTCTGATAATGTCAGAAATAGTTGATGACCCAATATTGAGAGTAACGTGTTGTCTTTTCTGTCCAGAGCTTTTATCACTTGGCATTTTGAGCAGCAATCAGCTCCAGCAATCCCAAACGATTATCGGACTATTGAATGTCGGATTGACGGAAGTTTACATTATTACACATTATACAGGATGAGATTCATTTTCGAATTATTATTTTTTGTATAAATTGGTTCAATTTACAAATACCCAGGTAATTATTGGTGTCAGCGTACGATGTTTGTTACTTTATGGCTCAATCTTTCATGACGAATTTTATGTCTAGAACACACAACGCATCGCTTTGAAATTGGTTTATTTCGTTCGTTGCATGAGAATATACTTGGAAAATACCTGTCTATAAGGCTACTTCAAGGACGAATTGTTTAACAAGGTTTTTTTAATAATCTGCTACAGAAATCTTTGTTTTAGTGATGTTCATGTATAATGCTTGGGTATTTAGTATACTATTACTCAAAAGGTGAAAAAATACTTTTTTGTACCACTTTACCGACTTTCTAACTAACGCAGCAGAACTCAGCAACATATCTGTCTTGTCAACAGTACCAATGAATCGATTATATTAGATAACGTAATCTGGTTTACTAACTTCTGCTTTATGTACTTTTCTGACTACATGTACCATATCAGAAGTTGGACAAATTGTAAGTACTAGAATATCTCTTTTATCATATCATTTGATGGCTAACAAAGTATCGGTACAGTAAATTTCACAACATCCTTTATACAGTTTGGCATAAATAGATGGTAAATTTTTCCAATTAGCCTTGACAGCTCCACACACAGTAGTACCTTGCTTGCACAGATGATCATATAATATTCGACTTGTTTACCACTTGTCAGGGCATAAGGTATTACCAGAATTCAAATAACTTTTAATCGACGTTAAAACTATATTTCCAGACTTCATCTCTATCTTCATTTATATCTCGCCATCGTTGTAATCGATACATTGTTCTGCAGTTTCGCTCTGAATGTCGGTAAAATAGCGGTTATTTCCTTGGACAATAATATAATTTACAATATTTGACGAGAAGAAACTTTTGAAACAATTTAACACGGTACCGTTATTTTTTCATAAATTTTCATCTAGACACCCTAAATTAATTTGAGTAAAAACATGTGGGTCTGGTACAAAATCCTTCTTGATCCATCGAAAATGTTTTCTATTGTCTTCTTTTTGCATCAGCTCTTCATCGTCATCTGCATCAATTTCTGCTATTGAATTACTGGTTAAATTTGCAGAAATAATGGAATTTTCAAAATCATCGTCATGGTAGTCTTGGTATCTATCGCCGTTTGTAATAATTCTTCATTCTCACTGCCATAATCAGATGCTTGGACTAAAATACTGTTGATGTCTGGTTTCAACAACGACTTGAGGATTTTTGTCAAACTCCATATGATTATTATGAGAGTTGAATACTCCATTTCTGGTTTTTCTACTTCAGTGAACAGAAGGATAATAGGTAAAAAATTAAGGCGTTCAACAGCTACTCGTAAAAACCATTGACAGAACATTTTGCGTGGTAATTAGGAGGAGCGAGTACCCACTTGAACCGAAACTCTTCTCACACTTCTATCTCCTTCGTACATAAGAGTCCGTCTGGTAACATATAACTTTTTTCAAAAGACCCGGTTTCGTTTGGATGATGAAAACCCATTTCAAACATTACATGTGAAAGCAGTTACCAGTTGGGAAATGTTTCCGCACTTAAAAGCAACGTATACTCAAAGCATTTCCATTGGCACGACCGTGCATGAACACCATATCGGCCAGTTTAGGCATTTGGATAGTAACATCAAATTAATTTATGTTAAAACAACGTAAATCACTTAGCAAGACAACTTGGCGCAATCATTAAGTATTGATTTGCGGACTCATATTCATTAAGACTTTTCAACTTGTTTCGACTAAAAGTAATAAATAACTTTTTATGCCAAAATATTTGGGCTAATAAAAAATAAAAATCGTGTTTGGCTCATGGCGATATCTCAAAGAATTTTTAAATTATACAAGGGGGAGTTACTTTTGACGCTGACTGTATATTCCAATAAAAAAGAATATTAATTATTATTTTTACATATTTTTACGGCTCAATCGTATATATTTATATTAATTTCATATTTTTAGCATTTACAGTACAAAAAAAACGAATATTTGAATAATTAAAAAGAAAATAATTTGTTTGATTTAAATATAAAATAATAAACATCGATGTTACTAATAATAGTTATAGACACAAATTATTAGCGCACATTAAATTTAAAAAAGTTTAAAAAGAAATGATATAGATATTTAAAAATGTGATTTTAAACGCGTCACTTCCAGAATTTTTCCAAAAACATTCAATACTTCACCGTTCGTTATTAAAAATATTCCATATATAAAATAGTACATTGAGAAAATTAAATAACTATTTAAAGAAATAGTCAATTCAGTGCCAATTAATAATAAAAACTTACGTCACAATGAATAAAAAGCACACCCACAACTAATCCTATATAAATTAATGTCTATTTTGTAAAGTTGCCTTATAGCATGAATGTACACTGCCTAATAGACATATCTTTTAATTTATACGATCTAATTTGTACAATATACAACGTATTTTAAGTGGTTTTAACAACTTTGGTCTAAAACAAGCATTTAATATATGTCAGAGATATATGGTTGCCATTTATTGGCTTTTTAGTGATTCGTCCAGAAAAGATGAACAGAAATAGGGCCTCAATTAAAAAAAAAATTAAAAAAAAATAAATACAACTAATTACTAACATTATTAATAATGTCTGTTATTAATAATATTATAATGTCTGTGTGATTTTAGAATTAAGGACTCGTCTGATATTTTCGTATTTACATTAAAAAAAATTTTATGTATTTGATATTTATATTTAATGTAAGAAAAGTGGAGCAATTGTTGGATAAATAAAGTGCTATTTGTATAAAACTCAACAATGTAGATTTATTTTGCGTTTATTCCAAACATAAATTTTACATTTTTAAACTTATTTGCTACCAAATTCCAACTCTCACCCCCAAGTATGGTAAACTATGGCAATCTAACCAACCTCACCTGAGATGTGGTAACCAACCTGTTTTGTCGAATCCCCACCAACTCAACAAATTATTGCAAAAAATAGGAACCTGGAATGTACGTTGACTAATACAGCATTCAGGAAAACTTTAAATAATCGAAAAGAAGACCCATGACATTGATATCCTTGGAAAAGGGCACTTCCAGAGTATTTCGGGAAATAATATTTATTTCTCAGGTTACGCAGAGGAAAGTATAAAGGGTGTCGCAATAATAGTGCCCAAGGGACTCCAAAAGTTTTTGTGTGCATATAACGCAAGTAATGATAGAATCATTCACCTACAACTCCAGGTCTCATCGCATTATGTGCATTCTGCACATAACGCAAGTCTACGCCCCACCTTCCACGGAGGAAGAGACAGTACTAGAAAATTTCGGCATAGCTCTAGACACTGTATTTGTTAAGATACCTTACAAAGACATCACAATCGTTTTAGGGGTTTTTATTCTAAAATAGGAAGTACGCATATAATAATAATAATAATAGTTAATTCTTCAACAATACACATATGCAAAAACTGTATTAAAGCTAATTAAATTTTAAAAAACCAAAGAAAGAATAATAAAATAAATGTTGAAGAATCATAAGGTAGCAGATTCAGTGCCATGGCCAAAAGACCATTACTGTTCTTCCACCGTAACCTTAAATTAAGAAAAAAGCTATCAAAACAGGCCAGAAAATGTCTAAAAAAGAACTTAAAGTTAAGATTCCGTATTATCCCTAAATTATCGATCTTAAAGAATCAAAATTTAAACCTAATGCTATCAAACAACATAACATAACATAAACTTAATAACCTTCCGAGATGTTCCTGAATGTCAAAATCACTGCATGTTGAAAAGGTAATTAAACAGCAAACATTTAAACGCACGGCCACGCCTAACTTTTATATAATCTGGGATAGACTTGTATAGAAAATATACACTGTAGGTAAATGATCGTGCAAAAAGAATTTATAACATTTCTATTTCTGATGTTGACACTATACAAGTCACCTCTAAAATAAATCTTTCTAGCTAAGTAAGGTGGATTTCGACCAACAATCATGTCATGATAAAGTCTAAGTGATAGCATTTTAATACGAGACCTCATATTAAGCCATCCAAGATCCTTCAATTTATAAGTTATATGGTCATATTTTCTTATGCCGAAAATGCACAGTGCTTTCACATTGCTGAAAACATTCCTAAAAGGATACAAAACCTTTAGGCTTAGAAAACTTAAACCTATAAGTCTTGAAATATGCTGCCGATATCGAAATGTATTATCAATAATAAGAGCCAAATTCTTCTCCTGTAGTAATATAGGAATCACTTTTTTGTCAACACTGATTTCAACCAGTGATAGTAGCTGCTGAACGTGTTTCTCATTTCCAAACAAAATAACAGCACATTTTGCCGTATTCAAAAACAAAAAATGTTCACGAACATAAACTGACAGTCTCTGAAGATTACAATTAATTTTATTTACAGCATTTTCATAATCATTAAATGGAAAACCATAATGCAATTGAGTGTCATCCGCATACATGTGAACATTACAATTTTTGATACTATTACGCAACAAGGACGTATAAATGGTAAACAGCAGAGGGCCCAATATTGATCCCTGTGGGACACCTTTATTAACTGTTTATTTTACTGCGTAAATCTTAATTTACAACTAATTTATGGTTTTCTTCAAAATATCGTTCAAAATAGTTTATCACATTATTCTTAAGGAAAGGGGTTATCTATCATACCTTGTAATTTTGCAGGGGATGGTCAGAGGCAAATAAGAAAAAACCCGTCATTAATATTTTTAAACGTACTATAAGGACACATAATATCGCCAAAATCGACAGGGTAGTTTTTAAAATATTCCAAAAAACTAGGGGTAGTTTACCCCTAGTTTTTAAGGGACAGTTCTGATACTTCCCTTGTAAGATTAAGCTTTATGACAGAAAGTTTTAGAACGGTACTAGTCCAATCAATGATCTTCAACAACTTCCGATATGGGGCTGAAACGTGGACAATTAAACCAGCGGACAGAATGAGAATTGATGCGTTTGAATTGTGATTCTGGGGCATTCCCCGAATTACGTGTACAGCGCGCAGATCGAAAGAATCGATCCTTAGAGAATTGAACATCCAGAATAGACTACCTTCCCTTTGTCTTGCGATTATCCTGAAGTTTTTTGGGCACATTACATGAAGAGATGATAATAACATGTAGAGATTGATAGTATAAGGAAACGTAGAGGGATGAAGGTCCAGAGGACGCTCACCAACCCAATGGAAGGACCAGATTCAGAAAATTACCAGCAAGACTAGAAAGAAGAATCAACCCATTTGAATGGTGAATGAAGATAGGGCTAATGAGAGAAGGAGAAATGGACTATTAGGAGTTTAGGCATGAGGCCAACAACCTCACTCTGTCGAAACAAAACAGCCTTGGAATCTTAAGGACTGGAAAAGGAAGCCAAAGTCCACTCTGGGAAGAAGAAGAAGGAACTTATTTAGTTATTATTATTTATAAACGTTTCTAATTCCTATTACTGATTCATAATTGCTTTATTTCAATAATATAACAATATAATAAAACTAAATTTCAAAAAAAAAATCACCTACTTGTTACCACATAGCTCGTTGAACACCAGCCATTTTATTATAATCCACCAAAGACCTGAACACAATTCGACTTAATCTCCAACGTATAACAACACCCCTGGGACGAGACGTAACAACACAACGTTTTTTACACCGCAACAATGTTGAATCCCTCGGAAATGAATTTATCTGCGTATCCGCCAATTCTTTGATTTCAGCGGGAAGAATATCATTTCGACGCATTGCATTCACGCGTAAACGCATTGGAGCGAATTCCGTTGTAATTTCACGTCGTTTTACATCTCTTTTCATACAGTGATTAACCCATTTAGTTCTTGCGGGTTGAATCTGTAACCAAAATAGGTTAGGTTTATAACATTAAAAAAAATACAAGATATTACTTACGTTTGTGGTAATTAATTTAGTTGCTGAACTTAATAAAGAAGGAATTTGTTTTAAATTTGGAAAGAGCATCGTTTTTATTCGAATAGTTCCTTAAAATTGAGGTTTTAATAAAATTGAGGTTATGTTGATTTATGAAGTAGGGTTGATTTATATCATCGAAAAGAGATGGCGCTTTTTCTTTATCAAAAATTTTTAAAATCGCTAGATATTAATTACGTTTGTGGTAATTAATTTAGTTGCTGAACTTAATAAAGAAGGAATTTGTTTTAAATTTGAAAAGAGCATCGTTTTTACTTGAATAGTTCCTTAAAATTGAGGTTTTAATAAAGGTGAGGTTATGTTGATTTATGAAGTAAAGTTGATTTATTTCTGCGAAAAGAGATGGCGTTTTTTTTTTACAAAAAAGGATTAAAAATCAATTTAAAAAAGCTTTAATATTTTTAAAGAGATTACAATTTGATAATACTGAATATAACTTAATTCTTAAATAAACTATATAGCGTTTTATAATATAATAAAATAGGCAATAACAAAACTTTAACTCTTTTTAAGTGATAGAAATAGCAGTTCTTCGGACGGCGGCACTTAATAAAGCGTTTGTATCGGGTTGTTCAGTCATAACATCAACTTTAACCCATTGTTTGATTTGAGACGACTGTTTAATAGCGCTTAAAACGGCTTGGACATATAAACCATCATCAAATCCTGCTGCAAAACAAACAGGGTCTTTTATCCAACCTGCTGTTTCTGACACGGGAAGAAAAGCTTCTCGTAAAGCACCAATCATTTTATATAACCCTAAAATGTACGGTCGAGGTAAATTATTAGAAACAACCCATTCTTTATTGTCGGCTTCACTTAATAATACTTCTTCAAGATCGCCATTTCTTTTACCAAATAATTCACAACCACGTACAGTTAAATAACCATCATTTCCAGTTATAACAATATCTTGATGAAAGGAATTATTTACTAATTGACTATTTAATGTAGCTGTAACTAAAATTCCTCCCTCCAATTCCATTTGAAATGTGCAAAAATCTGGCGCTGAAATCTGTCGGATTCCATTGATACTTTTCGTTGTTTTTGTAAAAGTTCTAACAACTCCGTGTACCCGCAAAGCTTTCGCTCCGGTTATATAAGTAACAGTATCCACTACATGACTTCCAATTAAATTTAAAATTCCACCACCCATAATATCATTACACCTCCAATCAAAATTATCAGCTTCAGAATACAAACTACCACATTGTATCCGAACATCAATTAATTTAATCGACGAACCAAGATAATCATCACCAACCTGTTTTCTCATTGCCGTAAAAGCAGGAAGAAATCGAAATGAGTGATTTATTATTGAAATTAAAGCCGGATAATATTGACTTGCATTAACCATTTTTAAAGCGTCCGCTTGACTCAATCCGGCAGGTTTATCACAAACAATGTGTTTACCAATTCCAAGTGCTTTCACACTTATTTGAGCATGAAGATTGGGCGAACATAAAACGAAAATTAATACGACGTCTTTTCGAAGGAGAACGTCGTCGATTTTATTCGTGTAAAAAGGGATATTTTGTTCTTTTGCTAATTCCTGGGCATCTTGAATCGTTCTACTCCATATCGCTTCAATTTTAAACCCGTTTTCACGCAAAATTGGAATTAATACTTTTACCGCCGGTCCGGTACCGAAAATTCCAATACCGGGTAACATGCTTAAATATTTTTAGAAATTTTAAAATTACGATTGATTTTTTGAGGTTATGTCGTGATGTTTTGATTGTTGTGTCAACAACCATAGACGTTTTTGCGATGGAGATGGAAAGGTAAATTTAACCCTCCGTCTGTCGGGTGTGGTCTACAAGTCCACGACAAAAATTGTTTTCGCTATACACACAAAACTGTTTTTCAAAATTCCAAATAGTCGCTACATAATATTTTTTAACCACGACTACCTTATAATTAGGGTTACCAACTCTTCTATTTCAGAGGAGTATCCTCTATTTAACAGGCTATCTCCTCCCTTCTCTAATATTCTTCAATCCTCCTCTATTTCTCTATTTTAAAAAAAAATATGCAACACGTAAATCAAAAAAGAACCCATGACCTGACATCTGTCATTAAGCGGTGGTTACCGAAACTCTCCATCAGAGGGCGTCTGATGTTTTGAATGTGACCATCTGGTGCTAACTTCACTCTTTACTGTTTTTAACTACTTATTGTGGTTTAAAATGCATTTGTGCATGTATTAAATTTAATATAAAGTATAATAAGATCAAGATGGGTGACGAAGTAAAAGAAAATGATACAAATATAGACGAGAACCAGAAGATTAAAGCTCCACCCACTAAGAAGCTGAAGTATAAATCTACTTATCAAAAAGAGTGGTCTAACACATACAAATGGCTAAAACCTTCTAAAATTAATGATGAACCTTATGTACGTAAGACTTTTCTATTAAAAGTCAAGGATTAACTTCCGTAAGTAACTAAGCGTATAAGAAGTAAATTAACCTATACAAATATGTGTTGAATAATACAATACATTATACATACAATAATAATTAAATATTCATATGTTTAGGTAAAACAGCATGAATTGACGAAAATACATATCAGACAATCAAAAGTGGCAGCAAATAACAATTTAATAATAACTTTCTGCACACCAAATCATTCACCAAAAGAAAACAATGTGGCTGCAATTGAATTAGGATTACTGTATCATAACATAAAACACAATTTGTCATATAATAGATTCGACTGTGGCATAAAAGTGATCAAGCATATTTTTAGTAATAGTAATGAGAAAAGTTTAACAAATAAGCTGCATTTAGGCCGTACCAAGTCTGAAGCGATTATGGTTAAAGTTCCTGGCCCAAATGCTAAAAAAATAGTTCTTGATGATTTACAAAATAAATTTTATTATGTGCAAATTGATGCCACCAATGTAAAAAACAGGAAATTTTTTGTAATAGCTGTACAATATTTTATAGATGGCTATGGGGTCGTTAATAAGATGCTTGACTTTATAGAAAATCCTGACGAAAACGCATTAGCTATGCATTGCATATTAAATAATTGTTTAGAATGTAATAATTTATCAATCGCCTTTGTTAGTGCTTTCAATGCAGATAATTGTAATACCAATTTTGGGGAACATAATTCTGTTTTCTCATTTAAGGCAACAAAATGGCAATATTTAAAGCTAACTGCTATGCCCACATTCTCCATAATTGTGTGAAGCATGCTTTAGATAAACTAGATTATGATGTTGAAAATTGAGTTCTTAAGAAAACTTGAAAGAAATGTTTCAATTTTACAATGCTTCATATCAAGAAATACTACATCATGTCACCACCAAGTAGTTAAGTTTGGTTAAGGTTGTAGATAATGTCTTTTTGGTTCATTATAAACAATTTATTCCCCAATTAATTTTCTTCACCACCTTTACTTTACGAGTTATGATCGAATTTACTTACAAAAATCGCCAATTTTGACATTTTGGACATATTCACATTCTAACTAGAATACGGTTATACCTGAGTTAAACCTGGTGGTGGATAATGTCTTTTTGCTTCGTTATAAATAATTTATTCGTCAAATACTTTTCTCCATCACCTTTACTTTATGAGTTATGATCGAATTTAATTACAAAAATCGCCAATTTAAACATTTTCACATTATAACTAGAATACGGTTATAGCTGAGTTAAACCTGGTGGTGGATAATGTCTTTTTGGTTCATTATAAACAATTTATTCCCCAAATACTTTTCTCCATCACGTTTATTTTTTGAGTTATGATCAAGATTAATTACAAAAACCACTAATTTTGACAGTTCATCTCGAAATTGTAAACAAAATTCATGTAACACATCATAGACCTTAACTTAACCGTTTTTCAGATATCGAGCTTTTAAAAATTTACAAATTTATGTAATTAAAGACGTAATTTATCTTTGGTCACAAATTATTAAACTATTTTTGTATTTTTGACATGTGTATGTCACTACTTTGCTATGGAGATAACAAACTTTTAAAGGTACCTTGATTAATTATTTATATAATCGACAAAAAGATTTTTGTGTAGTTTATAAGTGACTTTCAAAGTTCAATATCTCGAAAACGATTAAGTTTAGGTTTACGATGAGCTACACGAATTTTGTTTAGAATTTCGAGATGAACCGAAATATGGAATAATATACAGAATGTTCCATTAAACAAAACACAACTTGGTTTCGTCATAACTTTTTGACTGACCCTGTATACTTAATTTGTCTTTATTTTCAAAAACACTAAAAGTTCAGTATCTTAATATTTTTGGTAGCTGCCTTACTTTAGGAGATAACCGACCGTTTCTGTACATGTCAGCGGCCCTGTATATTACAAGGATCATACAAAATACATACATATATGACAAATTACCACTATTTTAAACTCCACAGACCACAGTCGATCGAAAGTATTAAGGAAGCGCGCCCGACAGGCGGAGGGTTAATATTAAATAGAAAAACCAATTTGGAACTATTTATTAAACAAAAATTTAAAAAAAAAACTATTTATCTATTCATTTTTCTTATCTAGATTATCTACATTTTCATTGTTTCCATTTTTTTTCTTGCTACTTGTAAAATCAAGAAAACGCCAAAACGGACTGGATTTTTTAACAACTAAAATAAGCCTTTTTGTAGTGATGTTATGTAAGGGGCCAAATGCTAAAGCAACAACAGTACAAGCTAAACAAATAACATTGTAAGGCATACTAAAATCGGGTGTAGGTAAAGTAATAACAATTGATTCTGTGCGAATTTGAACCAAATAACCACTTCGGGAAGCATTAAAACTATCAGAAAAAGTTATGGCATCTTGAGGTAAACCAGTATAATTCCTTGCTAAAGGTAACCATGCTGATATAATTGAGGAGCTGATATAAAAGCCATGATTAGCATCAGGCGGGTATTCTTGCCATTTCAAAAACATGTATTCAAAATCGATACTTATGGAAGTTGAAGATTTAGGGGGAAGTTTTAGAACGATTTCTAAATTGTGTGGTTTTTCACGAGGTTGTCCTGGTTTATAAATCATCTTTAATGGCTTCAAATGTTGGTTATTTGAGATTATTTTTAAAGTATGCAAATAAATCGGGACATACCATGGGATATTTTGCAACAAAACCACTTCCAAACTACCCCAATGGTTATTATAAATCTTATTAACTAATCCCCCTCGTTGTTGGCCATAACCTATTTTATATTGACTAGCATAAATCACCGGGGGTATATTTACTTCATAATTAGGTTGATCAATATAATTAACCCCAATATTCATGGGTTTACCATCAACAACCTTGTATTTACCTAACAATTTATCATCACCACCCCGTTTTGAGGTAAAAAATTCAGGTTCAGGGGACAATTTAAATCGATTCGTTGTAAAATTTTTCGAAACATCCACATAAATAGAACTTGAACTGGCCAATGGGCAAGAATTTAAAATCCCCTGACCAAATAGCGACCTCAACGACCAATTTCGAGTCCTCATAATCAAATAATCGTAAACTAAATCCACGGTTTGATGTAATAATAATGAAGTTTCCTCACAACTTACATCTCTACAAATTGGTTTTAGGTGTATCCCTAATGAATGATAACGCGTATTATGAATATTCCCAGCATTTAAAAGTGAGGCTAAACCCATTTTTGAGTCACACGGTAACAACTTCTTCCAAGGAGTTAAATTTTCGGTACAAACAATCTCCCGGGGTAATGACGAATATCGCAAATAACTTGAATTAACATTATCTAACACAACTCCTTGTGGTTTAAATGAGATATCTGGAACAATACTGTTCCGAGCGTCCATCTGATTTAAGGAGGCACATATCAAACCAGATAAAAAGTTGGTTAAATCAGTCCAATTCTTATCTACATCTTCTGTGGTGTTTTTAAACCACGCCCAAACTTCCGCTCCTGGTGCTGCATCATCAGCAGGGTATCCCCAAGTTTCATAACGCCACAAACCTGCTGTTAAAGTAATGTGAAGTTCTTGGATGTTGAAACGAACGATTATCTCGCTGAGAGCACGAGAAAATAATCTTGTTTGAAAAACTGTTATAAGAAATAATTGTTAAAAATATAAATATTGAACATTTTAAATATGTGGCTTACGATCGTCTTTGGTGGAATCAACATCCCATTTTGTAGTAAATCGGAAATGGGCGTAAAGTTGTTCGTTATTAAGCGGTTTAATGAATAAGTCTTCAGTAAAAATATCGTTGTGTATTTTTGATGATGTTGATGAAAAAAGTAGTGTTAATATTGCTATTATTCTCATTTTATCTTTGGTTTTTGATTTTGCTAATTAAAATCATGGAATCTTATCTAAAATACACTTAAATAAATTATTTCATCCAGAAAATTTGCGGCTTTCACAAACGAAAAACATTTTGAGGTTAAATTATTACAGATTCCTTTTTTTAATTTACTATTATTAGCGCCATCTGTAACGCTTGTACGGTATAAGTTTATAATAGAAATAACCCTTCTTTATACATATACAAACCTGGTTAAACCTGGTTGTAGATAATGTCTTTTTGGTTCATTATAAGCAATTTATTCTCCAAATATTTTTCTCCATCACCTTTACTTTATGAGTTATTATCGAATTTAATTACAAAAATTGCCAATTTTGACATTTTGGACACTTTCACATTCTAACTGGAATACGGTTATGGCTGAGTTAAACCTGGTTGTAAATAATGCCTTTTTGGTTTATTATAAACAATTTATTCCCCAAATACTTTTCTCCATCACCTTTACTTTACAAGTGATGATCGAATTTAATTACAAAAATTGCCAATCTCGACATTTTGGNAAGAGATCGTAATTGATAATACTTAAGTCTGAATTCTCAAATTTTTATTTTCGCCAGAACCCCAGAAACATCTAATGACCGGTCTCGCTGAGACACCCTCCTGTATATCCAGGGAATTTTTCCTTGAACATAAATACCCGGGTATTTAACAACATTGGTCATACCCTATATTTTTGTAATCAGAAAAAAATAACGAATTTAATAAGCTAGTAATCAGTGGTTGTTTCTATTAAAAAAAAACGAAAATTGTCATGATATCTCAAAATCTAAAACCGAAAATTTTTTTTGACTACGTCATGGAATTCTTTGTAAAAAAGTTTCCATATAATGTCTTAGTTATAATACTCCACCTATAATAATAACCAAGATAGCGCTTTGAGGTTTTCGGCATTAGCAGTTTCTTGAAAAACGAGATCATGACATGTAAGCTACTTTTTTTCTAACTCTTATAGTTTNTTTCACATTCTAACTAGAATACGGTTATAGCTGAGATACACCTGGTTGTAGATAATGTCTTTTTGGTTCATTATAAACAATTTATTCCCCAAATACTTTTCTCCATCACCTTTACTTTATGAATTTTATTATGATCAAGTTTAACTACAAAAGCCATCAATTTTGAAATAAAGTGAACCCTACCCTGTATATGTTCTCATTTTATCTTTAGTTTTTGATTTTGTTAATTAAAATCATGGAATCTGATCTAAAATACACTTAAATAAATTATTTCATCCAGGAAATTTGCGACTTTCACAAACGAAAAACACTTTAAAGTTAAATTATTACAGATTCCTTTTTTTAATTTACTACTATTAGCGCCATCTTCAAATTAATCGTTTCATTGGTTAATTAGTTAAAATTGCTTTATTAATATTATTAAAATCGAATTATAAATTAATTAATAAACAATAATTAGATTATTTTGTGAAATTATAGGGATATGTAATAGAATCGTTTGAAAGTTGTAAAATGACAGATTCAGAAGTTGTCAAAAAAATTGATAACGAAATTCCCCTAGATATCTAGAAGACGTCGAAAACAAATAGAACATTAAAATTAAGGCGTGCAGATCACACATAAACCTGATGTAAAAAAAAAACCTTTCCGATTGCGTTACATAATTTATTTGTGCTTGGCCTTTGCCGCGATTGCATGTAAACAAAACGTAATTTCGCGCGCAAGTGACGCAATCGCGTTTTTGTGGAAAAGTGCCTACTAAACTCCGCACCAACAACTACGTCTACTTACAGTCATTCTTTGGTTACGTCCGTCTATTTTATTGTAGATACGATTATTTTTTAGTTAGTGTAACCGCGAAAAATAATGCCGGAACATAGATAATAATTAGACGTCGTCCGCGTGGGATACACGTTGTGTGTTAAACTGTGGTTAAATTGTTACATAGTTTTTCTAATAAACGACATGATTCAATTATAAAGTAACAGGAAAGAAAATTAAAATCAAGTAAGTTCTCCACGGTTAGTGTCAATGCCGTCTATTAAATCTTGTTACTCTCTAAAAGGTTTCAATTTTTATCTTTGATATACATTTACTCGTAATTTCCATTAATCATGAATATAATTTAGCCTTTCAATACAGAATAATCGAAGTTCTTGAATAACAATTAGAATGTAAAATATGCAAATTTACCAAGAATAGTATCACATAATACACTGTTTGTGTTGTTTTCACTCATTTGTTCGCTATATTTAAGAAACTTGTTGTCAGGGATATCTTTGATGGGATACTTAAAAATTAATTAATATCAATGGGTTTATAAATAAATCATTAAAACGTTTTTTGTGTTTTTCTTTCTTTACAGGTGAACTAACTCGGTTCTTTTCTTTCTTGATTGAAATGTTTTGAGACAAGTGTTTTAATTAAAATCAAACATATGTTAAATGAACGCTAATGAAGATAGACCCCCTAATCGGGGTTCGCCTAAATCGACTGGATTACAGGAAAGAATCGGTCAAATCTTTTATACTTATGGATTATTTTGTATCTCATATCCAGTTTTCATTCTTACTTTTGCGATAACTATAGCTTTATTATGTTCGTAAGTATTTTTTTTTAGGTTATGTTAATTCCTATGAATTAATTTTTTATTTTGTAGTTATCCTTTAATCAATTTCCCATTACCGGGAAGTTTACCAGTTGGTTTATGGCAAACTTCACCAAATTACACCAGTGGTCAACCACCTGAACCACCTTGGTGTTATGTCCAACAAGTTATCTTAAGAATTGCTGTTGTTCCATGGGCTGATGAGCTTGTTTTGACCGATGCATTTAGGGCACCTTTATATGAATCGTTTAAATTATTAGAAACAGTGAGAAATTATCAAAATGATGAAAGGTAAGTTACAATCTTTAATTTAATTTGATTATTTCATAATTTTTTAATATTAATTAGTTTGCGAACATTGGGACATGTTTGTTTACACGTCGAGTCCGTTAAAAAAGTTAAAGAGGAACAAAATGGGGTACTACCCGAGTACAGTTGTTTGGTTTTATCTCCCGCAAATTTTTGGCATCAAGATGTTCAATCGTTTGTACAAGATTCCAATATTATTAATACTATTTTTAATCATCAGGTGAGTTAATTTAAGATTGAAAAATGTCCTTCAATTTACAACAAATTTCAAGTGAGATAATTTAGATTGGGATCAAAAGATTTTTTTATCAATTTAGGATGATGAAAAATATTTTTAAGAATGAAATCAATTTGGGATACTTTAGTTTGAATAATTTTCTTTGAAATTTTTAATGTTTGTTTAAGATTTTATGCTTATCTTAATTTAGTAATCTATTTTTTTTTACATATTTTCATTTTTTGAGGTTATATCATGTCAAAAATCAGTATCTTAACCCTTTCCAGCCAGATGATTTATTTGTTGATTAAATAAATACACATAAGCAGTTTACTATGCTTGTAATATCATTAAATTGATATTACATTAGAATGTTTTTATAAAGGTGTCTTTTATCTATAACAGAAAATGCGGAAAAGTCTTACTCAATATACAGGATAATTTACATAAGAACCGACACAGAGCAGGGACATGTAGAGGACAATAAATTAAGATGATTTAAAGTAACTTACCTCTATACTAAGTTGTACAGGATGGTTCAAATTCGATGTCCGAATAGGCTAACTCGGAAACCATAAGAGTTAGAAAAAAAGTAGCTTACATGTAATGATCTCGTTTTTCGAGAAACTGCTAATGCGTCTTTTGTTTTCCCGCTAGAGGCCAAAATTCAAAATATCGTGAAACCAGCAAGTGCAATTATCTTGGTTATTATTATAGGTGGAGTATTATAACTAAGACATTATATGGACACTTTTTTACGGAAAATTTGATGACGTGGTCAAAAAAATTTTTTTGGTTTTAGATTTTGAGATATCACATTTTTCGTTTTTTTAAATGGAAACAACCACTGATTATTCGCTTATTAAATTCGTTATTTTTCTTTTGATTACAAAAATATGGGGTTAGATCGTTAGATAGGTCTATTTCTTATTGTTTTAGAATAAAGCTAAAAATAACTTTTTTTTAGTGTCATCAAAGAAATTAAATTTACAGTTTCCTGTAAATTACGGGGCGGTAGTTTTGACGCCATTTTGGCTTGAAAGTCAAGCGGGAAATATAAAAAAATAAGTGGTGAGATGCAGTGACAAGCTGTCAAACCCAGTCAAACCGCCATTTTGGCTCGGAAACAGGCTTCATGAACCGCTTCATATATATATATACATATATATACTTTATATATATATAAAGTCCCTAGATTAACAAAGTACCGCGGTTTGAAAAAATGTGAAATAATGCAATCTATTCCAATTTTTGTGTAAAACAAATATAAATTAAATAGTCCAACAAATGTATTTGTTTCAAATATCAGAAATGTCTTTTTAATTTACAGGAAACTGTAAATTTAATTTCTTTGACAACACTAAAAAACATTTATTTTTAGCTTTATTCTAAAACAGTAAGAAATAGACCTGTCATACCCAGTGATGGGCGCTGGGTAAATACCCGGCGAGTAGGTATTTATAAAATGGGTATTTACCCCGGCCCAGGGTAAATACCCAAACAGTACATATAAAAGTGATACAAGTAAAACTATAACAGATTCGGACAAAAATATAGAGAACATGATGAAATGGGCGTTGAAGACGAGGAATTGTCAACGATCGAAAACGTATTATAATCAGGTAACCACTGCTCAGTCTTCATTCTTGCGACGATGATCTGCCCAGTTCCACTTGAGCTTTGCTGCAATGTTCACCGCATCATTTACGCCAGTTTTTCTTCGTAGGTCTTCATTTCGTATGTGGTCCTGAGGGACCACCACGTATGTGAGCCTCCTGGTAATGGCCACCGTTAGTGTTAAAGTTTCGGAACCGTATGTCATAACCAAAGGAGGAAGCACGCATTGATTGAAAGCTTTTCNTTATCTCTAACTCCAAACCACGTCGTGTGAGCATCTGTCAAAGTAAGTTTCGAAAAACCGTGAATATTTCCTAATTTCTAAATATGTTCACTTAAATAAACATTATTTGTGTGTCCAGGATGATTACCGACAATCCGTTGGAGCACGACGTGCCCCATTTCGTCGCCACCGTGTTTCAAGACAACCCAACCGGCTGGGGTCCTTGTGAAGTACCAGATCAGTTTAAAGACATACCTTATCAGCCCTTCAGCAAAGGGGATCGTCTAGGAAAAATCAGCGATTGGACCGGAGCCGCTTTTCAAGATAAAAAATACGCGAGTAAGTAATTAATTTTGATTAAATGGGTGGATTTTTAGGTTAGGTTAAAATCGAATTGAGGTTATGTTGACGTTAAAGTGAGGTTATGTCATTTTTTATCTAATTTAATTTTATTTTAATTTAATTTTTTTTTAATTTAATTTTTTTTTAATAATATCATTATTTATGATATAATAATTTAAATTTTTATTATTTATAGGTAAATATGCTTCTCAGTTTGGTTCTGGCAGTCAATATGCTTATTACCATGATGAAGATGAAAGCACTTTTCATTTGGTTGATACAACCCGTGTTCAAAAGCCGCCTTATCAAAGAGGACGTTTCCGTCCTAATCAAAGAAATATGAGAGGTCGTGGAGGAAGGGCCGGACAACAATCAGGCATGCAAGCTTTAGGAAAAGGCTTGAAAAGCCGTGAGAGGGATCGTAAGGGACAAATTAAAAAATGGGGTCAAGGAAGAGTAAGTCTACTAGATTCTCGATTTATTATATTAATGATTTATTTTATTTTTTATTAGCCTCAAATTAAAATTCGAGATGCTTCGGTGACTGTTCGTCCTGATTGGTCAACAATCGAAGAGATGGATTTTCCACGGCTTGGGAAATTATCTTTACCAAATATAAAAGATGGAGAAGATGTGGGTTGTTATGGTGAATTGGAGTTCTATGATAAATCCTATGATAGAGTCAATGTTAAAAGTGAAAAACCATTGCAAAGTGTTAATCGAATCTTTCATACAGTGAGTTTTTTTATTAATTGTATTACAAATTATATAAATGTATTATTTTTAGGTTACCACAACTGATGACCCAGTTATACGTCAACTAAGTAAAACTGAGGGTAATGTTTATGCCACTGATGCAATTTTAGCAACAATTATGTGTTGTACTCGCTCAAATTACTCTTGGGATATTGTAATTGAAAAAATTGGTAGGTTATTTCAATTCAGGTTTAATACATTTTTAATATTAAAATAAAACTAATAGGTAATAAGTTGTTTTTTGATAAACGTGACAACACCGAGTTTGATCTATTGACTGTAAATGAAACTTCTGTTGAGCCACCTCAAGATGATGGAAACTCATTAAATTCGCCTCGAAATCTTGCTTTGGAAGCGACGTTTATTAATCATAATTTCAGTCAACAGGTAATATTAATAATATTAAGTTAAGGGGTAATACTACCTTGTGTGTACAAAATCATGGGTCATTTTTCCTAATTTATAGAAGATAAGTAAATCAATATTTTTAAATTTTGTTGTGATTTAATGTATTTTAAATGTAGTGAAGTACTTAGAATGTTTAAGATCGATTGAAAATCAGTCATAAAATCGCTTTATTTTAATCAATTGAAAAAATCCTCCATACTTCACTTGAGAATATCATTAGAAATCTGCAGTTAAAATTTGGAATTGATCGGATTAAACTTGAAGGCGCTAGTTCGTCGCCTGTTTCAAAAAACGTTATTTTGAAAAATATCGCCTTAAAAGATTTAAATGTTACAGAAATTTAATGCTTACCTTCAATCTGCAGTAGTTGGGTCATACAGTTGACCTTTACCATTAACATCCTTCTGTTCTTGATCCTTTTTCGACAATACTGCTGCTTTACGAGCTTTTCTTGTCTCTTTAGTCAGGGAGCGTTCAGATCGCACGATGCGAGTCGGTTGAGTCGGTGCGATATTAGTTGAGCCAAAAATCTCAGAAAGGAAAAAATCTATAACGTTCTATAGCTTTAAATTTTCCACGTTATTTGTCGAATATTTTTTGTACTTTTGGTAAATATCTCAGGAACTAATTAACGGATACAGCAAGGTTTTGTTGTGAAAAATTAAGTTATAAAAATATAACGTCAATTTTCTTGAAAAAATAAACCAAGTGATAAAAAACGGAACAAACAAAGGAACTTTAGCGGTTTCACTATCAGAAGCTGTAATAATTAAACTTTCTGTTGCCACATCAATTCGAACCTCGTTTTCTAAATGATTATTTTCAACTTTAACAACATTTTGACAACACTTCAACCAGTCTTCAACAGTAATCAATGAAAATTCTTCTTCTGTCTGAGTTTTCACAACGTTTAATTTAAATAATACATTTCTCTTCGCTACTTTGTTTTTAACTTGAGCCCATATCATTTCAATTGGATTTAAATTGGGGTGGTAGGGTGGGATCCTTATTGTTAGAGCCACATGTTCGTTTTCTTCTAGCAGACGAACGAATTTGTAAATAATGTGTTGTTTTTTATGATATTTAATATCATACAGCTGTGGCTTACGCAAATTCCGGGAAAAAGGTACTTATATTTTTACTTAGCAACTAGAATTGCAAGCAGGTGCTTTATGTACTTCTACAGGGTGGTTCAAATTCGATGTCCGAATAGGCTAACTCGGAAACTATAACAGTTAGAAAAAAAGTAGCTTATGCTAATGCTGAAAACCTCAAAGCGCTATCGTCTTTTGTTTTTCTCCTAGAGTAACTACTAATTTTTAGTTATAGTACCGTAATTTACAGGAAACTGTAAATTTAATTTCTTTTTCGACACTAAAAAAAAGTGTGTTTTAAGTTTTATTCTAAAACAATAAGAAATAGACCTATCTAACCCCATATTTTTGTAATCAGAAAAAAATAACGAATTTAATAAGCGAATAATCAGTTGTTGTTTCCATTAAAAAAAAACGAAAATTGTCATGATATCTCAAAATCTAAAACCGAAAATTTTTTTTGACTACGTCATGGAATTCTTTGTAAAAAAGTTTCCATATAATGTCTTAGTTATAATACTCCACCTATAATAATAACCAAGATAGCGCTTTGAGGTTTTCGGCATTAGCAGTTTCTTGAAAAACGAGATCATGACATGTAAGCTACTTTTTTTCTAACTCTTATAGTTTCCAAGTTAGCCTATTCGGACATCGAATTTGAACCAGCCTGTACATATCATCACATTACTTTTATCCTAGTTCATTTGATTTTCTTTTGGATATTCTCTTCATTTCTGCACCAATTTTCGTTGATTGTTAAATTTGATTTTAGTATCGCTGATTTAAGTATGGTTATTAGTCTGTCTATTTTATCCCAGTCTTTTATAGCCATAAAATTGCGAAGTGCGAAGTGAAGTCTTAGTGGCCTCTCACTTATTTGCTTCAGATCTTTGAATGCCTTGTGAATTATTTTCTGTATTGGTGCTTCTTCTGTCTTCTGAAGATTAGCCTTATTTTCTTCTCTCTGCATCTTCGTGGGAAGGCTAAGGTACTTAATAGCTTGCGTTGTATAATTTGCAAGTAGTCAAAATCCTTGATTCATTTGTTAATATACTTCCCATAAAGTTTAATGATATAAGTGCGCAAGCTTCGCTGTTGGTATTAATTGAACTAGCACTAGCAGTATTACTAGTTCAAAATCATTTACCTCTACTTTTCTGTACACAAGATGCGAAAACGCATATACAAAAACACATTTTTTACAAATTTGTTTGCGTCCTCACTGTCTAACAGTCAAATGAAAATACTGAGTGTTCAATTTAGTAATTAATGATGTTGTTTTACTTAATTGATTTAAAATGTCGTTGTTAGATATTGCAATAGGATCACATCATTGTGGTTGGAGAGGGTTTAATTTAAATCTTTTTAATTGTCTTAATTAAGCAAACAATATAACAATTTTAATTCTTGTAGACATTGCAAAAAGGTAAAAGTTCTTTAGCGGACATGTTATTTGGAATGCATTTATCAGATACGGGAATAAAAAGGTACCCTTTACGAAATCGGAGACGAATTCTTCAATATGCAATCACCTTATTTCTTAAAGAATACGACGAAACGTAAGTTGATAATTCCAAGATAAAATTGTATTTATTTCTTTTGCTTTTTAGATATGTAACCGGTTTACGTTCGAAACTACAATTAAATTATCCGTTACACCAAAACCTAAACCAAAGTATAACCAGTGATATCAACATAAATTCAACTTTTATAATTCAATATCCCGGCGATGTAAATTTCTACGAATACCTCCCGTTTGTTGTAGCTTTATTTTTAGTATTTTTTTACTATTACTATTCAGTTCGTAAAATGGAAGTGATTAAATCGAGGTTAGGGATGGCTTTCTCTGTAATTGTAACAGTACAAACAAGTATAAGCATGACATTCGGACTTTGTTTTTTCTTCGGATTAACATTATCGTCAATGGCAAAACAAATATTTCCCTATTTAGTGATAATAGTTGGTGTAGAAAACGTTTTGGTTTTAACAAAAAGTGTTGTTTCAACACCCGAACATTTAGATATAAAAATAAGAATAGCTCAAGGATTAAGTAAAGAAGGATGGTCGATAACGAAAAATTTACTGCTCGAAATAACAATTTTAACAATTGGTTTATTTACTTTTATTCCGTTTATTCAAGAATTTTGTATCTTTGGAATCGTCGCTTTAATATCAGATTTTTTCTTACAAATGTTATTTTTTTCAACCATTTTGGGAATTGATACGAGACGAATGGAAAGCTCGTCGGAAAAAACTGATTTTCGAAATAATTTGTATCAAAATAGTTTTGAAAAAACTGCTTTGAATAATATAGCTCCTGTTAAAGGATTGATTCGATCGAAATCTCATCCGAGATTAAACGTACATCATGCCAACGTTGTTCATAATTACGAAAAAAAAATCCCTAAACGAGTTAGATTAGTGAATATTTGGGCGAGAACGAGATTCTTTCAACGTTCTTTTATGATATTAATGATAGCTTGGATTAGTATGATTTTATATAACTCTGGATTAATGAAATATTATTTTATGGATATCACTGAAAATAATGGGGTGAAAGATCAAAAAAATTCGACTCCAATTAATTTTAATCCTTTGATTAAATCGCGAAATGCTTCGTTTTTAAAGGAATCAATTGCTCAACATTCTTTAAGTTATCTACTTAATAACACGGAAGAATTACAAAAGTTATTACATTCGGAGTATTCACCTTGGTTGAAATTATCTACACAACATTGGTCATCGATTTTGTTGAAGTATAATGTTTCGTTAAGCGGAAAACACATTGCTATTTTACCTCCGATTACTATTTCACATGCGATTCCGCCCGAACGAGCTTTATTATTAAGAAATCCTAAAGAAAAGAATCAAAAATTTGAATGGAACTCTTTAGCAGCTGCTTTAGATCCAATCGATTTCTCAGGTAAAACATTTTTTTAATTCAATGATGTTTTATTAAATTTTTTTGTATATAGAGGGTGCCTCAAATTTAAATAACCTCCCACAATCTGAAAGACCACTTTATCCAACATCACCAATGGAAATATTTTTAATAACGATTCTCGCTATAATAAGCATCACCGTTTTGGCGTATATCGTTGTAGTTCTTTATAAAACAGTGTGTTCGCGAAATTACGCCGAATGGCGCACTTCATGGACAAAAGAAAAAACGGACGAAGCAGCCGATGTTCCCGTTATGTTAGAAGTTGTTCCAATCGTTTTAAAAGGACATCTTCAAGAAGTTGAGTGTTTAGCAACTGATGGGACGAGCGTTGTTAGTAGTTGTCTTGGGGGGCAATTAAAAGTTTGGGATTCAGTTACTGGAGAATTACAATCAACCATCGATCGAAATTTGTAAATTAAATCCTACTTTATTTTTATTAAATTAAATTAATTTTAATTTTAGTTTCTTTCGTAAACAACGTAGCAATACAATAGAAGATTGCGATGATAATAACATTTCCGATTATGAATCAAGTTCACCACCATCACGCGAAAGTAGTTTATTACAATTTCCCAGTTTGAAAGATAAGATTTGTTTAAATTTCTCGAATGCTCTATACAAGCGAGTTTCCGATAATCAATCGGAACGTTTCGATTTCGGCGAAGACTATCGGCTTTTATACTCTGAACGACCACAAAATTTTCAAAGTCATAACAAAGCGTTATCTTGGTTAAGACAAACGGAACAATACCGAGACGAAGATACAAGTTTAAGTTGCGAAAACTTAATACAAATCGACGAAAAGAATGAGAAAAACGCAGTTTTTATTAAAAAATATAAATTTTCACCTATTTGGTGTATGGATTTTCTCGATAATTTGGTTGTGATTGGATGCGCTGATGGGAGATTAGAATTTTGGGAAGGGACAACAGGAAAATTTAAATATATTTATGAAGATGATTCTGAAAACGGTGGGGTGACCTCGGTTAAAATGATCGGATCGAGAGTTATCGCCGCTAGGTTACATGGAACAATCGATTTTTTACAATTGCAAAGTTATAATCAAGGTAGAGCGATCGATTGGAATTTTTCTTGTGCTTATAGAAGAACTCATATTCGAACCGGTTCTACGGGATCAATTAGCGACGCTAAAAATGTTATTCAAATCTCTGAAAACGCAAAAGAGGATATGAGATGTTTTAAAGTACTTTGTGCGAAAGCACATCAACAACCAATAACATGTTTGGACTGCGAGGGAGGTCGCATTTTAACTGGAAGTCAAGATCATACATTAAAAGTTTTTAGGTTGGAGGATGGGACGCCTTTGTATACTTTACATGGGCATTGCGGACCAATAACTTGTTTGTTTATTGATAGAGTAAGTCCAGGAACTTCTGGAAGTGGATCTCAAGATGGAATGTTGTGTATTTGGGATTTATTAACAGGTAATTTTAGGCTCAAACATATAATTCGATTACATCAGTTTTTTTAGGTACTTGTATGTTTAGTATACAAGCCCATGATGGTTCAGTAACTTCATTAACTTATTCGGCAAGTTATGTGATTTCTTTGGGTACTGACGAAAGAATATGCGTTTGGGAACGATTTCAAGGTCATTTATTGAATACAATTTATGTTCAAAATTCTTTTACAAGCCAAGTACAAATGTTAAGTCCGCATTTGGTGGTGACGGCTCGTTCGAGTAGTTTAGTTATTTATGACGTTCGTACAACGGAAGTTATCCGACACATTGTCCTTGGGCGATCTCCACTAGTTCTTGTTAATAATCTTTTGATGTTGCGAGATTCAGTTGTATGCGATTACGCGAATCAATTGCGAATAGTAAGATTTCCCATTATTACAAGAAAATACGATTGATATGAAAAGAGAATAAACAAACAAAAGGAGTTTAGTGCCTTAAGATGGTGGTGAAAATGAAAAATAGGAAAGCGTTTTATATTGTTGTAAATAACGAGATCTTTTAGTAGTTTTTTTTTTGTTTTGATTTTATACATTTTTTTCTTTTCGTTTTTTTTAAGGTAATGTAAAAATAGAATTGTGTCCGTTATTTATTTTTATTATTTAAGTGAATGAAAGCTTTTTTTTATGTACAAGTACCAACATTAATAAAATTGAATTGTTCAAGTTGCACCCTCTGATATTTTTTGTAATTCAAAAACTGTTAAAGTTCATTAAATTACATTTTTTTCTTAATCGAGTTTGTTTTGTATAAATAAATCCAACTCAATTCTTAAACACTTCAAATCCAACTAGAAATTGAAAATCAANCCTCCTATATACGTTCAGCATCAGTTTCATCTCTCCAAGACTATCCGAAATAAAAACTATATCGTCCGCGTAGCGCATTAATACCATTACTTAGGTATTGCCATCAATGTTTATACCTTTTTGGGTTCAATCCAGTTATTTAAATGTACTCTCCAGGACTGTGATGAACAATTTGGGTTGAACATTATATCGCCTTGCCTTACCCCACGCTGGGTATTTGGTCAGTACTTTCATACAATTTTACCGTCATTGTAGCATTCTTGTAAATGTTATAAATAAGTTTGGTGTATCGATAATGGACTCTGCATTCTTGAATTACTTGCAAAACTGCCACCAACTCAATTTAAATCAAATTTTATAAATACCTNAAATTGAATTGTTCAAGTTGCACCCTCTGATATTTTTTGTAATTCAAAAACTGTTAAAGTTCATTAAATTACATTTTTTTCTTAATCGAGTTTGTTTTTTATAAATAAATCCAACTCAATTCTTAAACACTTCAAATCCAACTAGAAACTAAACTAGAAATTAAAAATTTAGTTATTGAGAAAGGTCCTGCAAATACGTTAGATACATTTTTATCGTGGCTTATTTATTCTGAGTCACAGGACAAGATTTATTGTTTCTGTTGTAAATTATTTAATGCGATAAATAACAAATTTACAACAGGTTATAGTGACTGGAAGAACAACTTACATTAATAATTCGAATTGTTGACACCGAACAAAGAATACGTATTTGGTGGAAAAACATTTTATTGAAGTAAGTGACACTACAGGAGTCGATCTGGCATCTTTATTTTTAGACACAATAAAAGTATTAGATTTAGACTAGTGGTGGAACGGATATCCGGCAACTATCCGGTAAAATTATTAATTAAAGTATCCTCTTTATAATGCAAAAATCACTTACAGTTCTTGAGAAAAAATCTTTTGAAATGATCGACAATTCTTTCAAATTTTGCAATTTTCGACGATTGTTTTAAAACTTCGTATAAAATCCATTTCTTGGAATATGAGTATGAAAATATCCCAAAGTGTTAATAAAAGTGTCTTCTTTCCAATGAGCCAACCCATTTTGAAAAATAACTTTCAGTTTTTGAGAAAATAATATTTGAAGTTTTGATAAAATTTTCGATGTTGCAATTTTCATCGATAACTTTCAAAATTCGCTATAAAATTCATTTCTTGAAGAATCTTTGTGGAAATATCACCAATTATTAATTAAAGTATCCTCTTTTTAATGCAACAAGCTGTTTTGAAAAATCGCTTTTCGTTTTTAAGAAATAAATTTTTGAAATGATCGACATTTTTTTCGCATTTTGCAATTTTCGCCGATTAAGTTTTAAAAATTCTTATAAAATCCAGTTTTTGGAATATGAGCATGAAAATTTCCCAAAGTGTTAATAAAAGTGTCTTTTTTCCAATGAACTAACACGTTTTGAAAAATAACATTTAGTTTTTGAGAAAACAATATTTGAAGTTTTGATAAAATTTTCGATGTTGCAGTTTTCATCGATAACTGTCAAAATTCGCTATAAAATTAATTTGTTGAAGGATCCTTGTGGAAATATCAGCAATTATTAATTAAAGAATCCCCTTTTTAATGCAACAAGCCGCTTTGCAAAATCGCCTTTAGTTTCTGAGAAATAAATTTTTGAAATCATCGACAATTTTTTCAAACTTTGCAGTTTTCGCCGATTAAGTTTAAAAAATTCGTATAAAATCCATTTCTTGGAATATGAGTTTAAAAATTTCCCAAATTTTTAATAAGAGATTCCTCTTTCCAATGAACCAACACGTTTTGAAAAATACCTTTTAGTTTTTGAGAAAACAATATTTGAAGTTTTGATACAATTTTCGATGTTGCAATTTTCATCGATAATTTTCAAAAATCCATATAAAATTAATTACTTAAAGGATCCTTGTGGAAATACCACCAATTAATTATAGTATCCTCTTTTTAATGCAAAATTAAAAAAAAAGGAAAGTAGCAACGAAGTTATGAGTTTTATAATGACCTTTCTAACTGGACAGAGTAAATCAAAACTTTAGTTATTGAGAAAGGTCCTGCAAATACGTTAGATACATTTTTGTTTCCAACCAATCATATGGGCAGGAAATTCTCGTCCAAACATTTTTATTGTGGCTTATTTATTCCGAGTCACAAGACAAGATTTATTGTTTTTTGTGTTGTAAATTATTTAATGCGATAAATACCAAATTTACAACAGATTATAATGTGGAAGATACTGGAAGAATGTTAGTTAATGCTATTTATACTCATCAAAAAATATTTCTCATATCAAAAATTTTTCTGACTGGTCAGAATTTCTAAAAAGAAAACGCCTAAGTAAAAAAATAAGGATGTCGCCATTGGCGAGATGTTTTTCAACGACTATCAGAAGTTATTCTTACACTACTGAATTAAATTAGCCATTTAGAGGAAAATCTGATGTACTCTTTGAAAAAAATGACGGAGTGTTTTTGAAATTTATTGAGTGTCTAAGTTTATATGATCCAATAATTAACTTACTTAAGAACATCTTCGACGTATAATGTCTAAAGAGACACAGGTTCATTATTTTAGTAAAGACATACAAAACGAATTAGCAGGTTTATTGGCACAAACGACTAAAAAGAAAATTATGAAAATGGCAAAAAAGCCGAATTTTTTCTGTAATCATGGATACAAGTCCCAATATCAGCCACAAAGAACAACTTACATTAATAATTCCATTTTTTAACACTAAAAACATTTTATTGAAGTAACTGACACTACAAGAGTCGTTCTGGCATCTTTATTTTTAGATACAATAAATATGAAAGGTAAGAATAACGGACTACACAACCATAAAAACAAATTCTTTGTTGAACGCCAGCTATATGACCTGACATCACGGAAGCATTGTCATAATATTGTGATTGTTAATGAAATCTGATCGAAATATAATTTTTCTAAAATTTTGTTTTCAAGTGATGCATCTTTAGCATGTATTTCAATAAATCCCAAATCTCTGATGGAAACTTTTCTGTGTAAAATCAATATCTACATACCTAAAGACTTGCGACCAGTGATGTGAAATTACGGTAATTTATAATTTGTGTAAATTACTGTTGTAAAGTATCGTTATTTTTTCTCAAAATTTATTGTCGCGTAATTTAATAATTTTTTTGATAAATTCCTACGGTAACCTTTTTATTATTTTGATTTAAAGACAGTAGAATCTAACTTGATTTTGATTTAATAAAACCTTTATAGAAACTGCAAAGGAACATTTAAAATAAACTATGTAACAAAAACTCTAAAAATGAAACAAAATATGAATTCTATGTAATTCAAACACATAATTCAGAAGAGCTTCTTCCTGTTGTGCACGTTGTTGGTGAGCAATTTAAGATTTCTGTTGCTACTTTGCTTAATGATGTAGTACAACAAAGAGACTTCCATAATATAACAGAATACTACCCATAATTTTTGGATCTACTAAATTTGCAGCTAAGTGTAAAGGTATTACAGCCATATCTCTTCGTGCTTTTAAAAGTGATAGAATTGTTTTTACTTCTAAAACTGGGCATTCACTTTGTAGTTGATCATTCAAATGTTGAAAATAGTCAACAACGTGAGAAATGCAAGTTTGTACTTTTTTTTTAAATTATTGAAATGGGATTTAAAATCTTATATTCAAGCTTCCCCTACAATATATCGTAAAATGTTACGTTTAATATTTTCGTCTAGAACACTTGTTATAGTTTCTGTTATAACCAACTCTTTTAAGTTTCTTATAGGGACTTTACAGCATTATCAAAACACCGAAAGCGCATGCGCAGGCACATCCTAGCTAAAGTAAATATTTTGGTAGTTTACAAATTCACATCACTGCTTGCGACATTTGTTTTTGAGAGCAATATCAGGAGTTGAATCAAGTAAAAGTCCATCATATTTATTTCGTTTGATCTCACTTATTAGTTGATTTCGAACTGTGGATGCTAGAAGATGAATAAATTCATTTTGAATTTGTGGTGATAGGTATGAGACAGTTTTCGGCGTTTCCATGACATTTTTAAGATGATTTGCTAGTAGTGGATCAAACTGACCTACAAGTTTAAGTAAAGGTAATAGGTTGCCGACATTTGTATCATCTTGAAGGATTAGACTTTCAACATGACCAGATAGAGGAAGATTTTGTATAATTAGATGCAAGCTAAAATTCGCTGCAATATGCCTACTTCGCCACCGTTCCTTTTCGGATTGTATATTTGCTTCTAATGATGCTTTAATTCCCGTTTTATTAATTAATCCTCTTTCCAACTTGTAAACGATTTTCGGCGATTTGGGCTTTTTTCATGGCTAATTAATTTATTTTTTTTTCCATTTGGTAAAACCAGTTGCAGTTACAAATGATGACTGTGCAGCGGAATTTGTAGTAATAAATAAGTAGCCCCTGGAGCATGATGCTGAAAAGGAGTGTAGTGCCTTAAGTTGGTGGTGAAAATGAAAAACACGAAAGCGTTTGATATTGTTGTAAATAACGAGATCTTTTAGTAGCTTCTTATTTTGATTTTATAAATCTTTTTCTTTTCGTTTTTTTTAAGGTAATGTAAAAATAAAATTGTGTCCGTTATTTATTTTTATTATTTAAATGAATGAAAGCCTTTTTTTATGTACAAGTACCAACATTAATAAAATTAAATTATCTCTGATATTGTTTGTAATTCAAAAACTGTTCATCAAATTAAATTTTTTTCTTAATCGAGTTTGTTGTGCCTAAATAAATCCAACTCAATTCTTAAAAACTTCATAGAATTAATATATTTATTCTTAATTACAATTCATCCTTTTCATGATGATTTTCCGACAAACATTTACACTTTTTATTTTCTTCATTCACTTCAACGATTTCCATATCATCCAAATCCTCCACTTTTTCCACTAGGAGTTTCGAAAATTCATTTAAAAGTTGCGTGTAATAACAAAAAACGTTTGAAGGTAATAAATTTTCAACCGCAAATTTTTGACCTTCCAATCCAATCTTTCTTGCTTCATCATCGTTGTTTATAGCCCATTCAATTTTTTCAACTAAATCTGATAGATCTTCTTCGATACTAACGTAATGGATGTTTGGTTTTAATTCGTTATAAAAATGTTCATAGTACATTGATTTTTGTTTGAAAACTAACGAACCCCCGCCTAATAAATAAGGGGATCGATACGCAGATACAGTTCCATCAATCAATAATTGATATTTATACTAAAATTAAATTAAAAATTAAATGAATTATGAAAAAAAAATTTTAATTTACATCGAAAAATTTGTAGAAAGAAATATATTCTTGTTTTCCATAATATTCTTCTTGATCTCGAAAGAAAAAGAAATTTGTTAAAGAAACATTGAATAAATCCGGATGATTTCTAGAGATATCTATCAACTTTAAGCGATTTTTGTTTGAATCGCGACCCCTCCAAAACATTTTTGGGCTCCTCTCATCCCACTTTAAATTAACGTTTCCTTGTACTGATAACATATCTAAAGTTACCCTAAAAACATTATTTTAACCTCATTTTATTTAATTTTTAATTTATTATTACCGCCCCAAATTTTCTAAAGTAGATTCTGTTAAATCATAGGTTGGCATAACAATATCAAAAGAATTTTTGCTTCCACACCATGAAAAAATTGGAAATTTCTTTGCTTCTGAAGTTAAAGGCCAATCACCCAAGTTTACAAAAAATTCTAAATCAGGTAATTTGACTTTTTTCACCAAGGAAGTTAAAATACTATCAGAAAACATTTTAAATCCGGTGTATTTTCCATAACATTTCCGTTTAATAACGTTATTTTTAATTAAGTAATGGCACAAACTTATTGCACCTGGACTATCAAAGGTTTTTATCAATTTATTTCTTAACCGAGACCATTTTATCTCTGAAAATTCCGCTAAATCTTTATTAATTCGAGTTGGGACGTTCCCACATTGAAAATTATTTAAAAATTTATCAATAGAAATAGGGCAATTACATTCTTCTGAAAGAACTTTATTAAAAATATAAGGAGATTCCCCGATGTGGTAATTTTTATAGGTTAAGATTATTTTTAGTGTATCACAGTACTCATATTGTTTATATCTGAATATAAACACCCCATCCTTCCTATTTAATATATTAGATCTCAATTTACATGGTTTATTATTCGATAATCCATTGATTTCAAAATGAAAACTATCTGCATCACCAGCACTAAAAATTAAGAAAATTAAAGAAAATATTAAAAGGATCATCTAAATACTTGAGAATATCTTACTTTGTTAGATTAGCTTCTATAAAAACATATCTTGTTGGTAAAACAACATTTTCTGGATCTAAACCTGGCCCCCAAACCTTTATTTCACTAATATTCAATGAAAACACTGGGTAACTGAAGAGTATTAAAGTTAAAATGAGTATAAATACGGTAAACATGATGTAAATTAAACTAATTACCTACACATATCATTAAAAACGTTAAAAAACGTGAAGAAATTATTGCTAATTATTATAATTATCACTTTTGTGATTAAAGTTTTTTAATTTATTAGTTTGACACGAGATGGCGTGTATCAAGAAGAATTAAGGATTTTAATTGTCGCGTATAGATGTCGCTATAAAATTTAATTTTTTCGTATTAATTTAAATTACCGGTGTATTTTCCATAACATTTCCGTTTAATAACGTTATTTTCAATTAAATAATGACACAAACTTATCGCACCCGGACTGTAAAAGGTTTTTATCAATTTATTTCTTAACCAAGACCATTTTATCTCTGAAAATTCATCTAAATCCTTAACAATTCTAGTTGAGACGTCCCCACATTGAAAATTATTTAAAAATTTATCAATAGAAATAGGGCAATTACATTCTTCTGAAAGAACTTTATTAAAAATATAAGGGGATTCCCAGATGTGGTAATTTTTATAGGTTAAGATTATTTTTAGTGTATCACAGTACTCGTATTGTTTATATCTGAATATAAACACCCCATCCTTCCTATTTAATATATTAGATCTCAATTTACACGGTTTATTATTCAATAATCCATTGATTTCAAAATGAAAACTATCTGCATCACCAGCACTAAAAATTAAGAAAATTAAAGAAAATATTAAAAGGATCATCTAAATACTTGAGAATATCTTACATTGTTAGATTAGCTTCTATAAAAACATATCTTGTTGGTAAAACAACATTTTCTGGATCTAAACCTGGGCCCCAAACCTTTATTTCACTAATATTCAATGAAAACACTTGGTAGTTGAAGAGTATTGAAGTTAAAATGAGTATAAATACGGTAAACATTATTTAAATTGAACTAATTACCTACACATATCATTAAAAACGTTAAAAAACGTGAAGAAATTATTGCTAATTATTACAATTATCACTTTTGTGATTAAAGTTTTTTAATTTATTAGTTTGACACGAGATGGCGTGTATCAAGAAGAATTAAGGATTTCAATTGTCGCGTATAGATGTCGCCCTTAAATTTAATTTTTTTATATTAATTTAAATTACCGGTGTATTTTCCATAACATATCCATTTAATAACGTTATTTTTATTTAAATAATGGCAAAAACTTATTCCACCTGGATTGTCAAAGGTTTTTATCAATTTATTTCTTAACCAAGACCATTTTATATCTGAAAATTCAGCTAAATCTTTAACAATTCGAGTTGGGACGTTCCCACATTGAAAATTATTTAAAAATTTATCAATAGAAATAGGGCAATTACAGAACTTTATTAAAAATATAAGGAGATTCCCCGATGTGGTAATTTTTATAGGTTAAGATTATTTTTAGTGTATCACAGTACTCATATTGTTTATATCTGAATATAAACACCCCATCCTTCCTATTTAATATATTAGATCTCAATTTACACGGTTTATTACTCGATAATCCATTGATTTCAAATTGAAAACTATCTGCATCACCAGCACTAAAAATTAAGAAAATTAAAGAAAATATTAAAAGGATCATCTAAATACTTGAGAATATCTTACATTGTTAGATTAGCTTCTATAAAAACATATCTTGTTGGTAAAACAACATTTTCTGGATCTAAACCTGGCCCCCAAACCTTTATTTCACTAATATTCAATGAAAACACTGGGTAATTGAAGAGTATTGAAGTTAAAATGAGTATAAATACGGTAAACATGATTTAAATTGAACTAATTACCTACACATATCATTAAAAACGTTAAAAAACGTGAAGAAATTATTGCTAATTATTATAATTATCACTTTTGTGATTAAAGTTTTTTAATTTATTAGTTTGACACGAGATGGCGTGTATCAAGAAGAATTAAGGATTTTAATTGTCGCGTATAGATGTCGCTATAAAATTTAACTTTTTCATATTAATTTAAATTATCGGTGTATTTTCCATAACATATCCATTTAATAACGTTATTTTTAATTAAATAATGACACAAACTTATCGCACCCGAACTATCAAAAGTTTTTATCAATTTATTTCCTAACTGAGACCATTTCATCTCTGAAAATCCATCTAATCCTTCACAATTCGAGTTGGGACGTTCCCACATCGAAAATTATTTAAAAATTTATCAATGGAAATAGGGCAATTACATTCTTCTGAAAGAACTTTATTAAAAATATAAGGAGATTCCCCGATGTGGTAATTTTTATAGGTTAAGATTATTTTTAGTGTATCACAGTACTCATATTGTTTATATCTGAATATAAACACCCCATCCTTCCTATTTAATATATTAGATCTCAATTTACACGGTTTATTACTCGATAATCCATTGATTTCAAATTGAAAACTATCTGCATCACCAGCACTAAAAATTAAGAAAATAATTAAAGAAAATATTAAAAGGATCATCTAAATACTTGAGAATATCTTACTTTGTTAGAGTAGCTTCTATAAAAACATATCTTGTTGGTAAAACAACATTTTCTGGATCTAAACCTGGCCCCCAAACCTTTATTTCACTAATATTCAATGAAAACACTGGGTAATTGAAGAGTATTGAAGTTAAAATGAGTATAAATACGGTAAATATGATTTAAATTGAACTAATTACCTACACATATCATTAAAAACGTTAAAAACATGAAGAAATTATTGCTAATTATTATAATTATCACTTTTGTGATTAAAGTTATTTAATTTATTAGTTTGACACGAGATGGTGCGTTTCAATAAAAATTAAGGATTTTAATAATTGCGTATAGATGTCGCTATTAAATTTAACTTTTTCACTTTAAATTTTAAATTAATTTAAATTACTGTAATAAATGTCTAAAACAGGATTAAGTTTTTATTACCAAAAAAATCCTATTCTTATGTTACAACATAACTTATTTAATTACTTCTAATCTAAATGATCGCGTTATTTGCTGTGGTAAGATTATAGTGATAGAACAACAACCTTTTATCTTTATTTTTAATTACAATTATCTCATTTTAGTCTCATCCGAGTCTAGAGATTTGTTGAACCTTACCCTAGTAAAATCACACGATTTGATCAAAGAATTTGAAACATGGTTCAGGTAGTTAGTTTGGGGGTTTGGGATTATGTAATTTTAGGTGTTGTTTTATTGATTTCCGCCGGAATTGGGGTTTATTTCAGATTTACGGGAGGAAAGCAGAAAACTGCAAAGGTAAAAATATAATTTTAAAGATTTATTGTAATAAAAAAGTTTTATTTTAGGAATATCTTTTGGCGGATAAAAATATGTCGATAATACCGGTAGCTTTTTCGTTAATGGCTTCTTTCATGTCAGCAGTAACTTTATTGGGGGTTTCCAGCGAAAATTACGTTTACGGTTTCCAATTTATCGTAATCAACTTATCGTATGGCCTATTTACGCCGATTGCCGCATATATTTATTTACCGGTATTTTTTAAATTGCAAGCAACAAGTGCTTATGAGGTTCGAATTATCAGAAATGATTCAGCCATATCTATTTTTAATAAATTATGATTTTTAGTACCTTGAGAAACGTTTTGGGAAATTATCTCGTTTGACAGCTTCGTTGTGTTATAGTTTCCAAATGATTTTGTACATGGGGATTGTTTTGTACGCCCCAGCTTTAGCTTTAGGTGCTTTAACTGGTATTTCAAAGTATGCCGCAATTCTGACGGTTGGTAAGCTTGTTTGTATTCATGTTCTTTCTAATATATCTAAATATAAAGTAAAGTATGGTGTACTTTAAGATTTTTAATTTATTATGGTTTTGTAAAATTTTTAGGTTTGGTTTGTACATTTTATTCAACGATTGGTGGAATGAAAGCTGTTCTTATGACGGATGTTTTCCAATCCTTATTAATGTTCGCTTCTGTTTTTTGCATCATTATTTATGCCGGAATCGATGTCGGGGGTTTACAAGAAATTTGGAATATAGCTGAAAAAGGTGGACGAACAGATTTATTGAAGTAAGGAATACATTATACTTCAAAAACGAAGTAGTACTGAATCCATAGTACGAATGGACTTGCGATAATGTGAACAAAATAAAACCGAGCCTGTTCTAGCTACTTCAGAGTTATTATGCATGGTTGATATCAAAGGCTTTTTTTTACTGAATACACCACCATAGTAACAGTACATGGTGACTTTGTTTTAATTATAACGTGTTAAATTGCGGTTTCTGCCTTTCCAGTTGTCAAAAAAACAAGTTTTAAAAACTTGCAAGCATTTTTGGGGTTGGTGTAAATAACTGGGTTCTTCAAATTCTAGAAACATCTGGATGTTTTAGCTTTGCCAATTGCTAGAGGTCCCATTAAGTTCCCATTTATGTCATCTTATTACGTGACTACGATACATGTCTTTCCTTTATTTGTTGTACTTGGTTGATTTTGCTATGCCATACTTTCTAGCTAACACAGAATTCTTCTATTATTTTAGATTTTTGTGGAGAGATAAACATTTACTTTTATTTTTTTCAGTAGTCATCACATTTATAACAAGACAAAACGTGTTAAGCATCTCTAGCATAAGGCACGTTTTCGAGGAACACACCCTGCGTGAACAAAGTGTCATGGTTTTGTTTTGTTGTTGAGTTCGATCGTTTAACATGGCAACCAGTAATACAATGAAAAGTCGTGTTAGTAAATTACAAGACAATAGGCCTGTTTTGATTCAAGAATTCTTAGTTCTGAACCTTTCTGAGCATATATGTATATTGCGTATTATACGTATGCGCGGAAAGGTTCAGAACTGTTCGGAAGTGCAGAACTCTTGAACCAAAACAAGCCTAATGACACTATACGGTTTCACGAATTGTTTGCTAGTGAACCACTGTTATATGATGCAACTACCGAAGAGTACAGAAACCGAAATTTGAGAATGGCAGTAGCTGAAAGAATTTTTAACGTATTTAATATTGCTGGATTTGGACCCAAAAGATGTTATTTCAAAATTTATGAACCGGTTTGGAGCCGGAACTGATGACGGTTACAAGCCAAAAATTTTCTGGTTTGACCTGATAATTCACCCATTAGTCCAGCAACAATATAATTAAACTTGTTTTAGTGTTTACTGCTTGTCTCATAATTGTATCTGATTTTGAAATCATTCGCCTTCCAGAAGGTAATCAAACTCGCATTCAGACATTCTTAGCAGGTTTTTAAAATTCTTAATCTAACGACTTCTTAGCTCCCTGACAACCAAATTATGTAATTTGTTTTCAAGTATCCACTTTCTAACCCATCGCCGCCTTTTCTTCCATTTTTCTTTCGATTTTGGTAACTGATTCATTCTTAGTGCTGAGATAGCACTAAAAATCGAACTCACCACAACACAAGTATCAGCAGCTCCTTCTTTCTGAGATCAATTGAATCACGTTTTCTTTAATATTTCAGTACTTCAGCACATGCACGAAAGCAAGTAAGAAGGCGTAATACATTTTCGTTATACTTGTATATACAAAAATGTTCACATTATCGCAACTCTACTGTATATTTATTACATTAAGATCTAATTTTTTTATTTTAGTTTTGATCCTGATCCCACCGTAAGACACACTTGGTTTACCTTAATAATAGGTGGAGGAATAACATTTTTAACACTATACGGTGTAAATCAAACTCAAGTTCAACGATATCTCACCTTAAAAGACTTAAAATCAGCCCAAACCGCATTATGGGTGCAATGGCCTATTTTAAGCGCGCTAAGTTTAAGCACTTCATTCTCTGGCTTAGCCATTTACTCAAGATTTTACAATTGCGATCCAGTTGCAGCAGGAAAAATTGAATTAAATGACCAAGTATATTCATTTTATTCCATTAATTTTTTTAATCACCAATACATTTTTTAAATTTTTAGTTAATGCCTTATTTCGTAATTGATAGTATGGGTCATATCACTGGTTTAACCGGTTTATTTGTTGCTGGTTTAGCCAGCGCTGCTTTATCAACAGTTTCAGCAACAATTAATTCGTTAGCTGCAGTTACAATGGAAGATTATTTTAAGGTATCTTACTTTGATGTAAATTATGAGACATACTGTATAATGTTTATAATTAAACTACCAAATAATTTCAAAGTCCTATTTTAGACGATATACTTTATGTGCAGCAGAGTGGCGCAGTGGAAGCGTGCTGGGCCCATAACCCAGAGGTCCGTGGATCGAAACCACGCTCTGCTATAATTTTTTTTTTTTAAACAAAAAAATTTAAAAATTATTTTTTTAGCCAATTTATAAAAAACTCTACAACACTGATTTAAAAGAAACAAAATTAGCAATTTTCTCCAAAATAGCCGCGTTGTGTTATGGTTTTATTTGTTTGGGAGTCGCTTTTCTAGCGGAAAATTTCGGCGGTGTTCTACAATCTTCTTTAACGATTTTCGGAGTCGTCGGTGGACCATTATTAGGATTTTTCTCCTTGGGCATGTTTACAACGAGAGCCAATCAAAAGGTTTATTTAAAAAATTTCACGATTTTCAAATATTATTACTTCTTTAATTTTTTAGGGAAGTTTAACTGCTTTATTACTCGGATTATCGTTAGCTTTATGGGCAGGTTTTGGTTTACCGAGACCATCTCCACCAAAACTACCTGTTTCAATCGACGGTTGTGGACAAGAACTCGATGGAGTATCATTTTTGAATCAAACTTCTTTTAATACTCGACAAGATGAAGAAATAAATTATCTTTGGCTATACAGAATTTCTTATTTATATAACGGCGTTTTTGGTTTGTTGTCCGTGTTTATAGCCGGCTACATTCTCAGTTGGATATCCGACCTCATTTGGGGAAGAGAAAAACTCGATCATGACCCTAATCTTTTCATTACTCCAATTAGACGGAAACTTAAGAAACAATTAAGAAAAAATGTCGTCACTTAATAATTATTTTAATAAAAAAGATTTTTCAATTAACTATGTTTAATGTTTATGTTGATTTATAATGCCCTAATCTTACTTTGTTTGCCTCTATCAGATGTTCCGTGAATTAACTTATATAATAATGACAAATAATTGTAAACAGAAATTGTTTTGTTCGATGCTCGTCCATTTATCGCTGGACTAGGGCATCAGGGTAGTCAGTCTAAAAACATTGTAGTGTCAATGTAGTGTCAATATTCACGTTTAATATACGTTTGTAATGTGACTGCAATAAAATGTAAAGAACAAAGAGACGATGAAATGGAAACAGACAGCGTGGAAATAAACGAGTCTTATAGTAGTAGTCGTACAAGGAAAATTACTGGTGGAAAACGAACGGAAGCCATAGTATCCTTAGTAATAAACTTCAAAATATGAACAATTTGCATTTATACTCTTCAAAAAATCTCTTCTTGTTCAAAAGTTAATCCACAGCTGAAGACTAATTAAATAAATAAATAAATTTCTATCAAGCTGTGGTATAAATCTTTGTAAGTCCACTGTGTAAATCCATAAAGCTTACATAATATAATTTATTAATTAATTAATTTATTATCCTTTATGAAAAATTCCAAATGATTCCCATTACTCAACGAATATGTCCCCTCGCACAAAAAGCCTACAAAAATATCTCCTCAAACCTTTCTCCTCTTTTTCAATCCTCAAATTTTGACACTATTTACAAGAAAATCGTGGATTCCTAAAAGATGACTAATCAGTGTAACATGGGCAGAAGGACCACGGTCGGCAGCCCGTTCCAGCTTTAAAGTTTAACTTTAAGATTACATTGTATAATAATTTTATTTAATTTTTAATTGTATTGTGATCTCTTTATTTCTGCCTTTATTTCCTCAAGAGTGATTTGTCAAAACGGCTTGTTGCATTAAAAAGAGGATAATATAATTAATAATTGGTGATATTTCCACAAGGATTCTACAAGAAATGAATTTTATAGCGAATTTTGAAAGTTATCGATGAAAATTGCAACATCGAAAATTTAATCAAACCTTCAAATATTGTTTTCTCAAAAACTAAAAGCTATTTTTCAAAACGGGTTGGTTCATTAGAAAGAGGACACTTTTATTAACGCTTTGGAAAATGTTCATACTCATATTCCAAGAACTGGATTGTATACAAATTTTTAAAACTTAACCGGCGAAAACTGCAAAATTCGAAAATATTGTCGATCATTTCAAAAATTTATTTCTCAAAAACTAAAAGCGATTTTTCAAAACGGCTTGTTGCATTAGAAACAGGATACTATAATTAATAATTGGTGATATTTCCACAAGGATCCTTCAACAAATGAATTTTATAGCGAATTTTGCAAGTTATCGATGAAAATTGCAACATCGACAGTTTTTATATCCTGCTAAAGCCGGATATTTGGTTAAAAAATGGCCGTATAGGCCGGATACCGGACAGTTGCCGGATATCCGTTCCACAACTATGACATACACATTTAATTAATTCCAGTTAATTTAGTAAAATAGAAAAAGCTACACGTTTAGTGTTTTCGCATATGGTGTAATTGAATTAAATTTAGTATTTATGTCACCAGATTCTGACGTGTGCAGCTACATATTATGCTATTCTATCCAACAAAACAAAAATGATGGGCAAAGGAACTCAAGAAAAAACGAATAACATCGCAGCAAAAAAATTAGAGCCAACACTTTCTATATGTTGATGAATCATGAAGTACATAATGCTGTTGGTTTGTGTTACGATTTACAACAACTGTAGATAGAGTCTATATAAAGCGTTAGTGTAAGATGCTTATTGTTATTCTCGGCAAATTGACTTTTATATCTGTAGTGGAGGTGACAACAAGGATCAGAACAAACATTTTATACATGGTCAAGGAATTCAACAATGTTTTCTATAACTCAATAACTATCACTTATGGAATAAAACGTTTCATATAAAAAAGGTTTAGAATTAGCCTATATAATATATCCAACAAGCAATTTTAATCCACCAAAATTTAAGAATTTTCAAGTATTTCAACAAATATCTTCTATAACTCAATAATTATAACTGATAGAACAAAACGTTTCATGCAAAAAAGGTTTAGAATTAGCCTATATAATATATCCAACAAGCAATTTTAATCCACCAAAATTTAAGAATTTTCAAGTATTTCAACAAATATCTTCTATAACTCAATAATTATAACTGATAGAACAAAACGTTTCATGCAAAAAAGGTTTAGAATTAGCCAAGAAAACACATCCAATAAACAGTTTTCATCCACCGATCAGTAGTAAAAACCGCAACTCCAACAATTAAAAATTTTTAATTATTTCAACAATTTCTTCTATAACTCAATAACTATAACTGATGGAATAAAACGTTTCATACAAAAATGATTTAGAATTAGGCTAATAACCATATCCAACAAACAGTTTTAATCCATCGATTAGTAATACCAACCCTAAACCCAAAAATTACAAATTTTTAATTATTTCAACAATATTTTCTATAACTCAATAACTATCACTTATGGAATAAAACGTTTCATACAAAAAAGGTTTAGAATTAGCCTATATAATATATCCAACAAACAATTTTAATCCACCGATCAGTTATACCAACCTCAACCCCAAAAATTAAGAATTTTCAAGTATTTCAACAAATATCTTCTATAACTCAATAATTATAACTCATGGAATAAAACGTTTTGTACAAAAATTATTTAGAATTAGCCTATAAAACATATCCAATAAACAGTTTTAATCCATCGATTAGTAGTACCAACCTCAACCCCAACAATTAAGAATTTTCAAGTATTTCAACAATTTCTTCTATAACTCAATAACTATAACTCATGGAATAAAACGTTTCATACAAAAAAGGTTTAGAATTAGCCTATATAATATATCCAATAAGCAATTTTAATCCACCGATCAGTTATACCAACCTTAAAAATTAAGAATTTTTAAGTATTTTAACAAATATCTTCTATAACTCAATAATTATAACTGATGGAATAAAACGTTTTGTACAAAAATTATTTAGAATTAGCCTATAAAACATATCGAATAAACAGTTTTCATCCACCGATCAGTTGTACCAATCTCAACTCCCAACAATTAGGAATTTTCAAGTATTTCAACAAGTTTCTTCTATAACTCAATAATTATAACTGATGGAATAAAACGTTTCATACAAAAAAGGTTTAAAATTAGCCTATATAATATATCCAATAAGCAATTTGAATCCACCGATCAGTTATACCAACCTCAGCCCCAAAAATTGAGAATTTTCAAGTATTTCAACAAATATCTTCTATAACTTAATAATTATAACTGATGCAATAAAACGTTTTGTACAAAAATTATTTAGAATTAGCCTATAAAACATATCCAATAAACAGTTTTAATCCATTGATCACTATCATAGAATTTTTACGTTAATATTCCTGAAATAAGCGAAGTTATTTAAGAAAAACGAAAATAAAGTTTTTACTTTTAACACCTGTACCTTAGACATTATTAAAAATTGGATCATGAGAAATTTGGGTTAAATTTTAATACTTTTACATAAACAAGTTTGTTTTCGATTAAGGATGAACCACTNATTAAGAATTTTCAAGTATTTCAACAAATATCTTCTATAACTCAATAATTATAACTGATAGAACAAAACGTTTCATGCAAAAAAGGTTTAGAATTAGCCTAGAAAACACATCCAATAAACAGTTTTCATCCACCGATCTGTAGTACCAACCGCAACTCCAACAATTAAAAATTCTTAATTAATTCAACAATTTCTTCTATAACTCAATAACTATAACTGATGGAATAAAACGTTTTGTACGAAAATGATTTAGAATTAGCCTAAAAACCATATCCAACAAACAGTTTTAATTCATCGATTAGTAATACCAACCTTAAACCCAAAAATTAAATTTTTTTTATTATTTCAACAATGTTTTCTATAACTCAATAACTATCACTTATGGAATAAAACGTTTCATACAAAAAAGGTTTAGAATTAGCCTATATAATATATCCAACAAGCAATTTTAATCCACCGATCAGTTATACCAACCTCAACCCCAAAAATTAAAAATTTTCAAGTATTTCAACAAATATCTTCTATAACTCAATAATTATAATTGATGGAATAAAACGTTTTGTACAAAAATTATTTAGAATTAGCCTAGAAAACACATCCAATAAACAGTTTTCATCCATCGATCAGTAGTACCAACCCCAACTCCAACAATTAAAAATTTTCAATTATTTCAACAATTTCTTCTATAACTCAATAACTATAACTGATGGAATAAAACGTTTCATACAAAAATGATTTAGAATTAGCCTAAAAACCATATCCAACAAACAGTTTTAATTCATCGATTAGTAATACCAACCCTAAACCCAAAAATTAAAAATTTTTAATTATTTCAACAATGCTTTCTATAACTCAATAACTATCTCTTATGGAATAAAACGTTTCATACAAAAAAGGTTTAGAATTAGCCTCTATAATATATCCAATAAGCAATTTTAATCCACCGATCAGTTATACCAACCTCAACCCCAAAAATTAAGAATTTTCAAGTATTTCAACAAGTTTCTTCTATAACTCAATAATTATAACTGATGAAATAAAACGTTTCATACAAAAATGATTTAGAATTAGCCTAAAAACCATATCCAACAAACAGTTTTAATCCATCGATTAGTAGTATCAACCACAACCCCAAAAATTAAGAATTTTCAAGTATTTCAACAAATATCTTCTATAACTCAATAATTATAACTGATGGAATAAAACGTTTTGTACAAAAATTATTTAGAATTAGCCTATAAAACATATCCAATAAACAGTTTTCATCCATCGATAAGTAGTACCAACCGCAACTACAACAATTAAAAATGTTTAATTATTTCAACAATTTCTTCTATTACTCAATAACTATAACTGATGGAATAAAACGTTTTGTACAAAAAATATTTAGAATTAGCCTATAAAACATATCCAATAAAAAGTTTTCATCCATCGATCAGTAGTACCAACTGCAACTACAACAATTAAAAATGTTTAATTATTTCAACAATGTTTTCTATAACTCAATAACTGTCTCTTATGGAATAAAACGTTTCATACAAAAATGATACAGAATTAAAACATATCCAACAAGCAATTGTAATCCACCGATCAGTTGTACCAATCTCAACCTCAACAACTAAGAATTTTCAAGTATTTCAACAAGTTTCTTCTATAACTCAATAATTATAACTAATGGAATAACACGTTTCATACAAAAATTATACAGAATTATCCTATAAAACATATCCAACAAGCAATTGTAATCCACCGATCAGTTGTACCAATCTCAACCTCAACAACTAAGAATTTTCAAGAATTCAAAAGAAGTTTCTTCCATAACTCAATAATTATAACTGATGGAATAAAATGTTTCATACAAAAATGATTTAGAATTAGCCTAAAAACCATATCCAACAAACAGTTTTAATCCATCGATTAGTAGTACCGACCACAACCCCAAAAATTAAGAATTTTCAAGTATTTCAACAAATATCTTCTATAACTCAATAATTATAACTGATGGAATGAAACGTTTTGTACAAAAATTATTTAGAATTAGCCTATAAATCATATCCGAGATTATATCCAATAAACATCATAGAATTTTCACGTCAATATTCCTGGAATAAGCGAAGTTATTTAAGAAAAACGAAAATAAAGTTTTTACTTTTAACACCTGTACCTTAGACATTATTAAAAATTGGATCATGAGAAATGTGGCTTAAATTTTAATACTTTTACATAAACAAGCTTTGTTTTCGATTAAGGATGAACCACTCNAATAAGCGAAGTTATTTAAGAAAAACGAAAATAAAGTTTTTACTTTTAACACCTGTACCTTAGACATTATTAAAAATTGGATCATGAGAAATGTGGCTTAAATTTTAATACTTTTACATAAACAAGTTTGTTTTCGATTAAGGATGAACCACTCTGTATAACAAAACGTTATGACGGTTTTTTTTGTAATTTAACTCCCAAGTTATTTTAAAATCACCATTTTTTTAATTACTCACAAAATAATAACAATATATTGATTACTATAGTATAAACTATCCTAAAATTGTCAATAAAGTTGTAAATCTCTTAACAACTTTTCAAATTATAACTTTTTGACGGGGTGTCTCGTATCAATTGATCCCAATAAAATCGAATGACGTTTAGTAACATCCCAATTCCTCCGTATCTCAACATCAACAGCGAGAACCAGCCGATTTCAATGAACAAACGGTCAGTTCGTACACTAAAGCAACAAGTTTCTGCGACACCAAGATTTTCGGTTTTATCCAGTTTTGACCGCCATCATCGGTTTTATCCGGTTATATCCTTCGTTTTACGCTCAACACGTTCTTCGTACTTCTTTTATACCTGTTCTTCACCTTTCCATCCACGAAGATTCACAAACGACCCAACCCAACATTTTTTTCTATCGGTCATTATTTAGAAATTTGCACACAAATGAATATGTAAGAATTAAATTTTAAACGAAATACATACGTCAATGTCAACTTTTGACATCCATGAATTTTGACAACGAGAAACCAATAAAATAACCTAAAAACGTCAAAATGACAGATGGCAGTTAATATCTAACCTTATTTTTTTTTTAAATTAACAAAAAAATTAATTTATATTATTTGTTAATGAATTATCGTTATTAGGACGATAGTTTTCTTTTTCTTGTTTACGAAACGATAATTATTATGAATAAATTTAAATAAATATAAATTTCTAATCGATGGCAATCAAAACTGGTCGATTCATTTCCACGTGTGCATATTGTGCTAAGATAGCTGATCGAAACTAGATAAATCTGTTTTTACCAGTTAAGATCTGATTTCAACGTCTCATATTCCTAAACCTTCTTGCGTCCTACTTTGTGTTAATTAAAACCTTATTTCTAAAATCGTCACAAACAACGCAAAAAATATGTTTAAGACGTAAAAGTATGTTTCAATTGAGTTTGAACTTGATGAAGAATTATTTGAAGTTATTTTCAGTAATTCGCGAAATATCACCAGCTGTGTGTACTTCTTAAGTATTTTCAATTCCTTTTTAATTGTCCTTTTTAATTAATCTAGCTGGAATTAACCGCTTTTCGTTAATTGCTATGGTTTTAGCTTTCCGCTACATACTTAAAATAAATAAAATAATTAAGATTTTAATTTAAACCCGACTCAACCAAATCTAAAGCTGAAGAATCCAGCTAATTCTCAATTCACGAAAGCTGTGTCAACTTCTTCTCCTTCTCGTTTACCACCTCTACAAACCGATGATTTTCAGCGACGTCGAACTTGAACAACTCGAATCAATTAGGACGGAGTTTATTAAAGAGAAGCCAAACTGTAGAGGTGATACATTCAGTTCAGAATTTTGTTCAGTTACAGTTTTATTGTTGTAAGCAGAAAACGAGAAAGAAAAAAAAGAATCAGTTCCAGAAAAATTCGTTATCGTTTCACTTCAGTTTCAAGTTATTCTTGATTAGTTCGATTTAAACATTTAATTTCGCGAATGAAATACAGGTGTAATTCAAGCAGGCAAATCATTCAGATTCAATTTAGGACATTTTTGGAGGAATTAAAAATAAGATATATAGGGTGAGATTTTTTTTTATTAACAAGTAAGTTTTTGTTGTATATTTTCCGAATTGCCTTCGTCAATTATTTTTTTTTTTTTAAGATTTTTTATTAATTTTAAATTGAAATAAAAAGAAAATTGGGTTTATTATGACCGTTTCAACCAAAGAAAAATGTAGCTTTATCATTTTTATCGTCACTCTCATCTTTATTTCATTGATACAAAAAGGAAATTGTCAGGAAGCTGATAAAGAAGATAGCAAAAATGTTGTATGCGAAGATAACCATGAAGTTATTACAAATTCGTTCTCTTGGGTTGATTACTTAGTGTTAACCGCTATGTTGGTTATTTCGTGTGGAATCGGAGTATTTTATGGGTTTTTCGGTGGAAAACAGGAAACTAGTAGTGATTTTTTATTGGGTGGGAGCTCGATGGGTACTTTTCCTATGGCTATGTCATTAGCAGCAAGGTAAGAAGTTTAATTTAATTGTAATTAGAAAGCTGTCTCAAAATAATACTAATTATGGACAATATAATCAACATTAAGTAGTAAAATTTTTTCAAATTATCAACTTTTCAATAAATATGTACATTAGTGATGGAACGAATAATGATTTTGGGAAAAGCCGGACACCGGATATTCGGCATTCCCTTCATCCGGCCATTATGGTTATAATTTCTGGTGCATTTCTGAAATGATACCCTATATTGCCACATTATTACGATATTTGAATAAAAATTAAATTAATAAGAAAGCTGATAAGATATGTCAACTTATTTGGATCCACGATACAAAATGAACTTTTTTGATGCTGATTTAACTAACGAAGCAACTCTAAAAAGAGGATACTTTAATTAATAATTGGCGATATTTCCACAAGGATTCTTTAAGAAATGAATTCTATAGGGAATTTTGAAAGTTATCAAAACTTCAAATATTGTTTTCTCAAAAACTAAAAACTATTNGTTATCTTGATTCATTATCATTAATTTTTATGGGAAACGTTTTTCTTACTCACCTTTAGTTTTTTACTTATAACAGAATTTAACACAGATGATTATGAATTTTGATAATTTGAGAATTCCTGGCTTAAACCTGAGAAATAGTGATATCTATGATAGCATTGGTTATGAATTATGTTATTTTGATTCATTATCATTAATTTTTATAAGAAACGTTTTTCTCTATCATCTTTAGTTTTCTATTTATAACAGAATTTAACGCAGATGATTGTCAATTTTGATATATTGAGAATTCCTGGCTTAAACCTAAGAAATAGTAATATCTATGATAGCATTGGTTATGAATTATGTTATCTTGATTCATTATCATTAATTTTTATGGGAAACGTTTTTCTCTATCACCTTTAATTTTCTACTTANTTCGCATATTTTAGGTAAGATATCTTGAAAATCTTAGGTGATGAAGCAATTCTGACGTCAGATTCGGATTCAGAGTATCGAAAATTATTTGGAAGGTATAGTCTAGTCTTTGGTTTAAAAATTTGTCGGCCTGTGTTATCGATGAAAATTACAACATTGAAAATTTTTCAAAACTTCAAATATTGTTATCTCAAAAACTAAAACTTATTTTTCAAATCGTGTTGGTTCATTAGAAAGAGGACACTCTTATTAACACTTTGGAAAATTTTCAATCTCATATTCCAAGAAATGGATTTTATACGAATTTTTAAAACTTAATAAGCGAAAATTGCAAGATTCGAAAAAATTGTCGATAATTTCAAAAATTTATTTCTCAAAAACTAAAAGTAATTTTTCAAAACGGCTTGTTGGATTAAAAAGAGGATATTTTAGTTAATAGTTGGTGATATTTCCAGAAGGATTCTTCAAGAAATGAATTTTATAGCGAATTTTGAAAGTTATTGATGAAAATTGCAAAATCGAAGATTTTATCAAAACTTCAAATATTGTTTTCTCAAAAACTCAAAGCTATTTTTCAAAACGGGTTGATTCATTGGAAAGAGGACACTCTTATTAACACTTTGGGAGATTTTCATACTCATATTCCAAGAACTGGATTTTATACGAATTTTTAAAACTTAATCAGCGAAAATTAAAAAATTCGAAAAAAATTTCGGTCATTTCAAAAATTTATTTCTCAAGAACTGAATGTGCTTTCTCAAAACGGCTTTTTGCATTAAAAAGAGGATACTTTAATTAATAATCGAAAGTTATAACAGCAACAGTTCTGTTAGTAATGAATGTGGTGATGAATCACAAGCGAAGAGAAGAAAACCAGATTGGGATTGTTACAATGAGGTTCTTAATGACAAACCTGATATAAATAAAGTTGTATTCAATCAAAAAAGTCCTGTGGGGGTTGAACTTGATTNCTTATAACAGAATTTAACGCAGATGATTGTCAATTTTGATATTTTGAGAATTCCTGGCTTGAACCTAAGAAATGGTGATATCTATGGTGGCATTGACTACAAATTATGTTATCTTGATTCATTATCATTAATTTTTATGGGAGCCGTTTTTCTCTATCATCTTTAATTTTCTACTTATAACAGAATTTAACACAGATGATTACCAATTTTGATATTTTGAGAATTCCTGGCTTGAACCTAAGAAATGGTGATATCTATGGTGGCATTAACTATGGATTATGTTGCCTCGATTCATTATCATCAATTTTTAAGGAAAACGTTTTTCTCTATCATTTTCAGTTTTTTCATCATAACAGAATTTAATGTAGATTATTGTCAATTTTGATATTGTGGGATTTCCTGGCTTGTGCATAAGAAATTGAGATAACTATGGTGGTATTGCTTATGAATTATGTTATCTTGATGCATTATCATCAATTTGGAACCAATCAACTTGGATCTAATGGCTGGTACAACGTTATCGATAATCATCTTTTTGCATTCTGCTGCGTTAATAGACTTGATGTTTTTGGTCACCATTGTTCCTCTTACTCNTTTTTGCATTAAAAAGAGGATACTTTAATTAATAATCGAAAGTTATAACAGCAACAGTTCTGTTAGTAATGAATGTGGTGATGAATCACAAGCGAAGAGAAGAAAACCAGATTGGGATTGTTACAATGAGGTTCTTAGTGACAAACCTGATATAAATAAAGTTGTATTCAATCAAAAAAGTCCTGTGGGGGTTGAACTTGATTATTATCTACAGTGTCCAACACCTAAAAGAGATACTAATTCCTGTGAATGGTTGAGTACTAAGTAATAGGTTTATTTGGTAACTATCCGGTATCCGGCCGGATTTTAAAAAATGGCCGGATAGGCCGGATACCGGATATCCGTTCCACCACTACTAATTATGTAATTTTTTTTTCAAATTATCAATTTTTCAATCAATACATCCAGTATTTAAATGTTTATTATCCAGTTGGATAATAAACATTTAGTTTCTCTAAAAAATATATATAATTACAGTAGAACGTCAAAAATTAGAAACGTCAAAGAAAAGAATTTGTTTTTATCCCAACTTGGTGAATAGTTGAACCTGGTGGTCTTGTAATAATAGTTGTTCTTGCATTGTTCAACGAATATATCTAATATATCTCTTAGATGTACCATCTTGTCGGTTTTTACACGATCTGGTCTGCTGGTCAGAGAATCAAATCTAATGCATCTCATTAAAAACAAGAACCTCTTGGACCTCATGCAGAAGCGAACAAAGTCTATACCAGTGCCGTCGGAATTCCACATATCCAGAAAACTAAGATGGGAAACTCTCAACATTCCACTCATTATTAAAATATCAATCAATGGTATTACTTCAGCTACAGTGGCATTCTGCGAATCTCGCTTTATAATGAAGTTATTATTAGATCTATCTATTCATTTAGTATTCAAGTATTCAAATGCGGAGATGCAACAAGAGCATTCAAATGCTCTTGTTCTTCTTGAAGTTGGAAATTTTTTTTTCCACTTGAAGGTTTTATCTTTTCCTACAAAATAACTTTTAGTAAGTGTTTTTTCATCTTCGCTTGATCCAAGGTTAGGATGGCATCAGATTCGATTTCGTGATCTTCTTCATTTACTGAATCGCTTTCAAAGTTATTGTCGTTGTTGGAATCGTCTTCAAGCATGATATTTTGCACTATTTGCTCTAGTTTGCGTTCTGTTAGAAGTCTACGCATTTCATGGGAGTCCATGAGATGTAACTACGAAGTTTTTAAGGTTTGATTCGTGTTTAAAAAAATATTTAAGCCCAAAAACTCTTAACGACAGCGAGCTCACCTGGGATAAAGTAAATTACTCAATTAGTCGCGTGAAAATAACTTTTAGTTTTTCAGAAAACAGTATTTGAAATTTTGATAAAATTTTCGATGTTGCATTTTCATCGATAACTTTCAAAATTCGCTATAAAGTTCATTTCTTAAAGGATCCTTGTGGAAATATCGCCAATTATTAATTAAAGTATCCCCTTTTTAGAGTTGCTTCGTTAATTTTATCAGCATCAAAAAAGTTCATTTTGTATCTTGAATCCAAGTAAGTTGACCTATCTTATCAGCTATCTTATTAATTTCATTTTTATTCAAATATCGCAATAATGTGGCAAGCATTTCAGAAATGCACCAGAAATTATAACCATAATGGATGGCTAGATATGCCCGATAACCAGATATCCGGCCGTAGGAGAAGGCAAAATCACTATACGTTCCATCATTAGTCAAAACCTTTAACTTTTTAATTTAATTTTTCTACAGTATATTTTTTTCTATAATACTTCTCAAGTTATTATAAAGTTGGCAAAATTACCAGGGAATTTTGTTAACATATTAACTTCAACCATGTATGTACTGAAAATGTTATTAGAAATCAGAAAAACAACATAAATTTTATAAAAACTCTAAAAATATAACCTTTACTTAACCTTGATATTATTTGATACTAATATTTTTAACACAAATAAATTTGTAAATATTTTCAGTTTTATAACGGCTGTTGAATTATTGGGCAACCCAGCTGAAATGTACATGTACGGTTCGCAATATTGGATGGTTTGTTTCTCTTTTATCATAGTCGTACCATTAGCATCAAAATTCTATCTTCCCGTTTACATGAAGCTCCGTTTAACCAGTAGCTACGAGTACTTATCATTACGTTTCAACAAGAACGTTCGTACCTTTGCCAGTATTCTTTACATTATTCAAATGGTTTTGTACACAAGTGTAGCAGTATATGCTCCGGCTTTAGCTCTAAGCCACGGTAAATTATAAAAAATAATCTTTTTAATTTTTTTAATGATCATTTTTTCAGTAACCGGTTTAAACGTGTACGTTGCTGTAACCGTAGTGTATATAGTATGTATATTTTATGCGTCTCAAGGTGGGATGAAAGCGGTTATAATGACGGATACTTTTCAAGCTGCTGTTTTGGTTGGATCTTTACTTTTAATCGTTCATTTTGGTGAGAAATTTGTCGGAGGCGCCGGTGTTGTTTGGTCTCAAAACTATAATACCGAAAGATTAGAATTTTTAAAGTAATAATAAAAACACTCATTTCAAAAATCTAAATTTATTTTTTTAATTTTTAATTATAGTTTAAATCCAGATCCAACGATAAGAAATGGTTTTTGGCCAGTTGTTTTAGGGGGGACTTTTTATTGGATGACAATGTTTTGTTCGAATCAAGCTTCGATACAAAAATATTTATCCGTAGAAACGATAAAACAAGCAAGAAAGTAAATAATAAGCTATACTCATTTAATCTTTTTTTTTAATCATTTTGTTGTATTTTAGAGCTTTATGGGTGTCATGTTTTGGGTTAATATTAGTTTTTACGATAAACTTTTACACAGGAATGATTTTGGTGGCTCATTACAAATCGTGCGACCCAATTAGAGCTAATAACATTCATGCGTCAGATGAAATCCTCCCGTTATATGTGATATCGGAAATTGGACACTTAAAGGGCATCACAGGCTTCTTTGTTGCAGGAATTTTTGCTGCGAGCTTGGGGTATACTAAAATTTTTTATATGGGATGAGTCATAAAAATTTATATTTATCTCTTTTCACAAATTTTTACGACTCATCTATAAAATAATTATTTACTTTAGTTAATAGATAATAATTAACATCTAGATATGTCTTTCAGTACCGTCGCCTCGGCATTAAATAGCTTAGCAGCTGTTACTTGTGAGGACATTTTAACTGGATTATTCGGGATAACTCTACCAGAATCGAAAGGTGCTTTATGGGCTAAATGGGTCTCGGTTTTATACGGGGCTTTAAGTTTTATATTAGTTTTCGTTGTTGAACAACTAGGTAGTGTTTTACAAATCGCCATCAGTTTTAATGGAATGGTTGGTGGGGTTACATTGGGATTATTTACTTTGGGAATGTTTTTTCCATGGGCAAATGCTAAAGTAATACTCAATCAATTATTATTCATAAATCATAATTTAAACTGTTTTAGGGTGCAATTTTTGGTTCAACAATCGCTTTAGCTTTAGTTTTGTGGATGGGAATTGGACAACAAATTTCAATGGCAACCGGTTCGATTATCTTACAAGAAAAACCAACGAATATCTCAGGATGCCTTTGTTTAAATAACACAGCAAAAGAAGAAACTACATTCGATTTAAACACAACTAAAGATGAACCAATTTTCTTTTTATACAGAATTTCGTTTTTATGGTACTCCGCTATTGGATGTTTAATTACATTAATATTAGGTCTTTTGGCATCTTTCGCTTTTGGCAAACAAGATCCATCAGAGGTGAACGACGATTTGATTACACCTCCGATAAGCGAGATTTTGCACTCCCTACCAAACAATTTCAAAGAATTTTTGGGAATTCCTTTAAAAACTAAGAAAAATAAAGAGAATAATATCCCAATGAGAGGAATTTTTAACGTTGCTATCGATCTATCAGATGAAAGTCCACCGAAAATGCAAGATAATATGAGGAAAGTCTCTGTTATGACTGCATAATAATGTTTTTAATAAAATTTGTTAAAAAAAGTAAATTTAATGTAAATTTAATGTGTTTAATTTTTAAACTTAGTACAAAGTGAAGTTAGCTCGATTTTAATTTTAAATATTTTATTCTTTTTGTTAAATTTTAGACTAAATTTATTTAATAAATATTTAATAAAAACAAGCAAATTATAAAAATCTAATTTAGAAGTAAATTTATTAAAAATTTAAATAAAAGTTAATCCCTCTGTTCCAAATTATGGTATACATTTATTTCTCTTTACAATTTTTCTCAAATTATGGTATACAAAACTTTGGAAACTGCTTTATTGTGTTTGTAAAATTAGTAATTCAATTTGTAACTTAATTTAAACATACATTAATAAAAATTTTACACATTTAAATACAATTCAGCTAGTTCAATGTAAACGCCCTTCATGGCGAAGTTTTTCTTTATTCATGAATTTTCATATTTTTCTCGATATCTATGCGTCTGAGAGCAAAAGCGCAAGAGAGCAATTTTGTTAAGAATACAATTTGCTACAGCTATCGTTCGAAAAGTTTTTCTGTAGCATGCTCAGATTCAAATTTATTCACTTTTATATTAGAGTGGTAGAAAATAAAATATTTTACTTCTATTTAGATGATGAAAATGTTTATTTACTTATGTTTTCGGTGCTTGTAGTGCTATACGAATTTATCGTATTTCGAATAAAAAATTATTCGTCCTCAGGCACGACTACAAAACATGAAACATATAAACTAGGTGAGTGTCTTAATTAAACATTATAATACATTGAACAAAACTTATTTCACAGGACATATTAAAAATTAAAGGTTAAAATTAACTAAATACTATTAAAACATTACTAAAAATATATTTACCGTCAATTTGTTTAGGCATTAAAAATGATGTTAAACATTCTCGATAAATTTGAGGTGTAGGAAAACTTTTAATACGACCAAAAATTAATATTCTTTGTTGTAGGGTAAAGATCTTAAACTTTTGAAACCAAATGTAGAAC